TTCGCATTCTCCTTGCGCATACACGCAAAGCATAATGGGTAATCTTGCGCTCCAAGAAAAAGGTCCATACCAGCCCATGCCTAATGTCAAGTGGACGTCAAGGTTTTGACATCAAATCGATTTGCATTTCTGAGGTGTTTTTAGATGTTGTTTGACATTCCCGTTGAGTAGTATATGAGTTTAGTGTCTTCCCAGTTGGAACACTAGCATTTTTTACTAAAGGATATTCAAACCCAGTGGATGTTAAATGGTTGCCAAAATAGTTGAATAAATTACCAAGCAGTAGCAGTCATAAGTCATGAATATAACCACAATTACCATAAGGAGCAAGCATCAATGCTTTCATTCAAAAATTGTGCTTGCGAAATCCAAAATAAAGTAATCCAATTTTAGATTGCTGCTTCTCTTTTGCTATGTGAGCAAAGGAAATATAGAAGGTCTCGCAAATAGGCATGGGCCGGTGTATGATTCTGACGATAAGATAATCTTTAATAAAATATTTCGATTTCACGGTATTGTGATTACTGCTGTAAAATATATTCTTTTTAAATGTCTGGATAAAAACAACTAAAACTTTCCCCCCCTTTGGACACAATATATATTATTTTGAGAAACATTTAAAATATTTTGGAGCAGTAAACACATCAGGCTAAATAATGAGCATGCGGCATTAGCCCCTTTCACACATACAGACCTTTCCGGAAAATTGCCGGCAATTTTCCGGAAAGGTTGTATGTGTGAACAGGTCCTTTTTGAAAATACCGGTAAATTCGTTCTGGCTATTTTCCGGAAAGAGAAGTTGTAACATTACCGGCAATTTGCCGGAATGCTGCGCTGTGTGAATGCAGAAGGAAGATTCCCGTAATAAGCGTGTGCACGTCTAGAACGGGCTTGACGTGAGACGTCTGCTTTAGCCAATCACAACAGTCAGACGCATTGACGTCCGCGCGGTTTGTAAGAATAAAAGCCTTTGAATATTTTTCCAGACACATTTAGCTGCTAGAAGTTAGTCAGATCACGTTTATGTGTTCTTCTTAATGCCAACTGTGTAAATAATCATCGATGAGATGCTTATGATAAGCCGTTGTTTGTTTACCTTCAAGCTTTGCGTGTGTCTGTGAAACAGCCTGTGAGCGCCTGCACACGCACATATTATGAACATCTCGACATGCGAAAGTGATCCTGCGAAAGTTGTTCACAATATTGATCATCCACAGAGTTTGTAATTTAGTCAAATGTTTACAAATACAAGCGCAGCCGTTTAAAGCTCATTTGTGGATGAATGATGTCAGAATTTACCGGTATTTTGGAATGGATGTGTGAATGCTCTTTTCCGGAAAATTTCCGTAACGTCCTCGCCTGTGTGAACAGCGCTTTTTTGAACATACCGGTAAAGTCGTTCCGGAAATTTTCCAGATATTTACCGGTATCACTGTGTGAAAGGGGCTATTGACTTTTGATGCCTTCATTAGTTTCAAAAACACTGATTTCATTACAATTTAAAACGACATCTTTGGATATATTTTTTCTGCTGGAGATACTGTTATCCTAAAAAAAAAAAAACTTAAATAAAAAAAGTCTTACACATACCCTAGAAACAGTATAGTGGAAAATGTTAGCGGTATAGCTTGAAAACATTTATCGTCCCATGCCTACTCGCAAATATAAAGTCTTTCCAAAGGTTCAGAAACAAATAGTGCAAATTAATGCAAAATCTGAGCAGATGTTCCCACCATTACACATTGGAGTATGTTGATAAGATTTATGTTGAAGAGAGTGTGTTGTAGGGTTGCAAGATTTACTGCAAAATACTGGCAGTGCTGCTGTAGTTTGTAAACGGTAGTATCGTCATTAATGATCTATCTACAACAGATAATGTTGCATGTGAAAAAGACATTAAAATGCTGACATGCTTGCGCAACAATAGACCATTTTATTTAAATATTCTGTGGGGCCCTTTAAGGATGAACATTTTCTGATGTTTTAAACGCACATCAGAATCGGTTCATTTCTGTTCCTGCCAATATCACTTAAAAAGAACGACTCACATTTCTCATTTTGAAATACTTTGGATTCTTACCTGATAAGCAAAAAAACAATGGATGAAAAACCCAAAATAGCAAGAGGAAACAATGAAACGATTTTTGACCACTTCATATAGCCTAATTTTGTTGGAAGAATGCTCTTTTTGTAACAATGTAATGTGGTATAATTTGTTTCTTTATTTTTATGTATGCTTGTTGGTCAGTTATCTACAAAATAAACAAAAAGAACGAATGAATTGTAGGCGAAGTGACGTGCAAATAATACTTTTTTTTAAATAAAATGGGAATTCTGAATTAAATTCAAGTAGACCTATTATAACATGTAAAATATAGCATTCCTGACAATTTTCTTGATAATTTGAGTTATAAATTGCAATACTACTTGGTATCGTGATACTTCAGCTGGTATAGCAGAGCTCAACAATAAGGTCTGCACAATGGCCCGGGGCCAGTTTCAGAGACACTCGGGACAGTAGACAAGATCGTTACTGGCCCAATTGGGTAAAGTTTAATTTGCCTGCGACAGTGCGACTATTTGTCAATTGTGTCAAATAAATTTAAGCCTTTAAAAGCTACCTTCTCTATGATGTCGTAAACACCATATTGCTTTTCAGTTTCTCTTATCTGATTGAACAACACAATCTCACTGCAATTCGTAACTTTTTGATTTAGTGGCTAATTCGTATGAATTCGTACGATGTAATTCGTACAATTTAGTACGACTTGCTCATCCCCCAATGACGGTTGGGTTTAGGGGTGGGGTTAGGTGTCACGCCCCCTTTTTAAAATCGTATAATTTCGTACAACTGAACTCGTACAAGTTTGTACGAATTAGCCTCTAAACTGGCAAAACGTAAAATACTTACGTTTTTTCGTGAGATCAGGCTGGACTGAATGTTGTGAGCGTATTATTTTTCCCTGTAACTTGGCAACAACCAGTATGGCAAAGAGACAGCAACTTGGTGGCAACATCAAATCATGAGTCTAATTTCTTGGAAGCAGACATTTATGCGGGTACAACACGTCGAAAAAATGAAGTGGGGTTTTGCACAGTTTGTCGTCAGTTTGGCAATGCAGCCACCTTTTTGTTAAATCATTTAGAACTGCAATAAAATACCTGCATGTTTTCCATACTGCTCTTTTTGTTTCCATTAAACTTTGAATTAATTATTAATGAATACATTAAAATACATTAAACACATTAAATTCTAAATTCACAGGCATTGTTTTGACATTATTTAAACTTATGTGGCTAAGAAATAGCTATTCACTTTTTTTTTTTTCCGTGGTGGGACTAGTGAAAATTTTGGCCCGATCGGACCAATCAAAAAAATCCTTATAGTGTTGAACCCTGTATAGTATCGTAAGATGAATTAAAAGTATCGCGACAACCCTAGTGTGTAGGAAACTCAGAAGCTTAAACCAGGCGACTCTTGTCTTCAAAAAGGTATAAGATGGCTGTTGAAATTCAACATTACATCCGGGAGCTGCAGGAATTTTTCACCACCAGCTTAAAATATTTAAACCAGTAAATAGGTGAGGAAAAAAGCTAATGTTGGCACAAAAGTAGAATTTAATATTAATATTAATGCATTGGACATTATAAGTAGGCTAATAAAAGGATTATGAGTAGGCCGTAAATGATGTTTTAGACATTTTTATTTGCCCTAATGTACTGAAAGCCTGCTGGTGATTGGGTAAACCCCATTCCTCAGATCTCAAGAGGTGAACCAGCGATCTTTTATCTCCGCGTCTCCCATTCCAGTATTGCAGGTTCGCCCCTGCTCAGACTTTGGGTTGACTTGCACTTAAAATGTCTTTTGACAAATATGATATTGCACATCATCTCTAGATTTGTAACCCGCGATGTGACACTGACAACAAAGGTGCGGATCCACATGCAGGTTTATTAGCAAGGTCAGGCCAGCAATAGTCAACACAGGGGCAAACAGATACAGTCAATCCAGATTCGTAGTCAATAGGCAGGCAGCAAACAGGATCGAACAAATAAACAAGGCGAGGATCAAAAACACGGTAAAGCAAGACAAAGGAAACGCATTGTAATGTCACTAGAACAGATAACAAGACTCAGCCACGAGTGTCTCAAAGTGAGCCATATATCTGTGTGTGTAATCAGTATTTGAGCAGCATCATTGCATGACTGGGATCTGTAGTCCATAACATGGCGGATTTGTAGTTTGTGTGAAAGTGAATGTTTACCAGTGAACTCTAATAGTTAGATCGCTGGTGATCATGACAATATTAACCCAATATTCTGTAGAGGTCGCATTTATTATTATTATCGACTGCTATAAAGAATGTAAACTACAATAAATAAACTGCTGTATTTGCACTTTTTTGGCAACTTTTATTTGAGTAGGATTTTCCACCCCTGAATATACAGTACAGTATTTCTAATTGCAATATAGGCAAGGCAAGTTTATTTATATAGCACATTTCATACACAGTGGCAATTCAAAGTGCTTTACATAAACAAGAATAAAAGAAACAAGTAAAATAAAAATAAAAACAAATAATAAAAATGCGTAAAAACAAAACATAAAAACAGGTAAAATGTGATATAAAAGAATGAAGAAGAAGAGAAAAACCTGATAGTGCAATTTGTCGGACGCAGCACAGTGCTCATTCAGTAGAGGCACAGCTAAACAGATGTGTTTTCAGTTTGATTTGAATGTACCTAACGTTGGAGCACATCTGATCATTTCTGGAAGCTGATTCCAGCAGCGAGGGGCGTAGTGGCTAAAAGCTGATTCACCCTGCTTTGACTGAACTCTTGGAACTTCTAGTTTATATGATCCTAAAGATCTGAGTGATCTGTTATATATCCAAACATGTACAATTCATTGCATTTCCCTAAAGGTATTTTTTTATTTAAGTGTCATTTGAGGCTAATTGATGAGCACTGATTTAATGCATTTCTTTTGTTCCTCCCAGACGTTCACGGCGTGGTGTAATTCTCATCTGCGTAAAGCGGGAACTCAGATCGAGAACATTGAAGAGGATTTCAGGAATGGCCTCAAACTCATGCTGCTGCTCGAGGTCATCTCAGGTGACGCATCTCCATTATACTGATATATTACCTGGAAGAAATAACTTGAAAGGTGGTGAAAGGGTTTAGGGAGAGTTATAACAACCTTACAGATTCCTCCTCCTCACCATTTCTGTTGGTTGTCAACACTGACAGCTGGAAGGGGTGTGGTTAAGTATGTTAGCCACGCCCACTACCTCAGACAAACACAATCATATGATGATTTAAAGTGGTTGGATTAAAGTAATATTTAGGTTACACATGTTCACTTGGAGTTTACTTACAGCCCATTCTTCCATCAAGTTTGTGGCACAATCAGGATCAAAGCCTAAAAGGGTCAGTTTAAAGAGTTATAAAACAATGTGTGTGGACTAGGGTTGTAACAATATACCGGTATGACGGTCTACCACGATTTGAACGTGCACGATTATCATACCATGAACAATTGCATATCAACGGTTTTAACCCTTAAAGACCGAGACAGCTGCCCGCGGCTAAAAATAAGTATTGCTTTTAAATGTTTAATAACTTTTGATCCGCTGATCCCATTCATACAATTCAAAGATTGGCATGAAGAAGAGAATATCAGCTTTCCAGTGCTGTATCACATAACATTCGCGGACTTTCAGAGGCTCCGGAATCAGTGCGGTTACGTCATCAATATTTGACCACGCTGATTTGACAAAGAAACGCTCGTCACTGTGTCTCCGGACAAACCAGACATGATACATTGATGCATTGTCCCTCCTCCATGCCCAGATTGGTTCAGACTCGCTATATCACAACCAATAAGCATAGGTTTCGCTTTTGTTTGTGGACCAAACAATGAGCATTTTGAACAACACAGAATGAGAGATAGGCATACATTTATGCGCGGCTAAATAAAACGCAAAAAAAAAGTTTTGCATGAAATAATTCTCATACTAAGTACTTTTGCATGCACAGCAGCACAGAAACATGACAAAACAGTGACACAGCAAAGACAAACTGCTGCTCTTGCTGTTTTCAAAAGACGCAAATGAAGGTGCAGCTGTTTATCTGCATTGCAGACAACCATATCCAAATCCATATCCACAGACAACTATATCCATGCTGGCACATAAAACCTAAGGATGTTCCATATTGAATCTAGTTTCGTTATGTAACTATTTATAGGATAGTAAATATTTATTTCTATTTTTTTACTGAGGATTTGCACCATGTTTATTTGGACTTTATTTGGACTTTGACACATTATTTATTATTTTCTTATTTTTTATTTGTTCATTGTAAGTGGTGTTGTTTATAGTAACTAAAAATATATTATTTGGAAAAAGTCAAATTTGCTTCACTGTTCTATTATTTTGTAACATTTGTAATACCGTATACCGCGAAACCGTCAAACCGTGGTATTGTTTTAGACGATTATCATACCGTAAAAAATTCATACCGTTACAACCCTAGTGTGGACTATTTTGAGACGAAACTTCAAATGTACACTCTGGGGACATCAGAGATTTATTTTACATCTTTAGTAGTATATTTGCAGTACAAATGATAACATAATGAACTATAAGAGGTAAATAAATAATTAGATTTAAATAATCAAAATAAAGGGTAAGTATTTTGGTTTTAGGTCATATCATCCAGCGCTAGACCATAAATTCGATAGGGTGTGCTAACTTTTTCTCATGACTGTATATGAAGTTTCTCAGATGAGGAATACAGGCAGACTTCAGCTGTTGTTTTGTACAGTCAGATGTAAAAGGAGTTTGTGACTACAGACTGAAGGTGTGTGCAGTGAGTATTGAATGGCATGAACAGAGTGACTCATGCTATACTTTAAAGGAGGTTTTGTTTTTAGCGCATTCGAATCAGAACAGATGATTGAATGCGGCGCAACAGACTCGACATCACGGTTTAAAGCACCTGCTGCCTTATGAAATTACACTGAACTCTTTTTTCTGCAACCCCCAAATCAGAAACAGTTTGAAAGCATTGCAAATAAAAAAGAAAGTAGTGGTTACTCAATGTTTGCAGAAAATACAACAACATTTCAAAAAAGGTTTGTGTAAATGGTGAAAATATATTCATATTTTGGCTGAACTGTCCCTTTAATGCATGTTTCTGGTCTTATTGTGAATGATTTATCAGTGCAAGTTATACTGAAACATGATACAGTGTCCTAATATTGTGCTGGGGTTCCCTACAGCAGGTCAGCATATGTATTGTAATCATTCTGCAATGTTTTCGATGCAGTTCGTTTAAATCTGCTCTGATTGGTCAGCTGGCCGAGCCTGTTTTGATTTGGTTTTCTGTATCGATTTTGTGCTTGAATTGTTCATTTCACAGGAGTGGTTTGTTTTGTGGAGGCGGGATTATGCAAATGTGTTACTTTGATTGATTGTGTTGATGTAAATCATTAGCAGTGAAATATTCTAAAATATAAAAAGACTCGTCGAAGTGATTCAGAGCTGACTGTTTCTTTTGAGAGACAATGGCTGTGTCTGAAATCGCGTATGCTCGAGTAGTTTCTACATTTGAATTTGAGTTTACTAAACAACCCGTGGATCAATTGATACCAGACCACACAAGAAATCATTTATTATTTTTGTTTTATTCATTATCCGAGCGGATAATGAATAAGATCTAAATGATCTTTTATTTTGGAAAAATGAGTGTATTCTCTTGGTTACATCCCGGTCACTTGAGCACCAAAATTTAACCCACAAACAGCAACAGGAAAACAAAAATGATCACAATATAATGTTTAATATCATTCGGTACCGAGTATTTTTTTTTTACAATTCATTTAGGAATATTAGAATTTTTTTATTCAACTATTTTATTTTAGATTACCTACATTACTAATGCAAACAATATTAATAGTAAAAAAATAAATAAATAAAAAAAATTATATATATATATATATATATATATATATATATATATATATATTTATATATCGTCTCTTATGTCTTATAATAAAATAAACACAAGTTCTAAAGAGACTCAAACTTAATAAATAAAGTTACAAAATGTGTTCAGTGATAAAGTGTGAGCACCGAACAATCAAAGCAAACTTTCAGGTGATCAACATCTGTATGCTGTCTATTATAATCACACTGTAAACCACAAAATCTATTAACAAAAGAAATGATGATAATTAAATCTGAGCTTTCAAGTAAAGGAACCAGACATTATTATTCAAATACACACTGCAGAATTACAAATTGTGAAGTTGAAAGACTACATTACCACTATGCTAAACATAGGGAGCTAGTGGCTGGGATGCACAAGAAAAAGAACCAAAAAGCCACTCTGGTGACATCCTCACATCCTTTAGCGTTTACAATCTCTTCACTGCTGCTTGTCACAGCATTCGTGTGTTGTTATTCTGGAGTCTATTCAATTATTTTCCTTAACCATTTACAATGGGCTTTGTGCTCACGCTCCTCTGGCGTCTCTTATAACTAGGTGACCATCAACTATTTTCTCAGAGGAAGACAAATGGACAAACCATTACTGCGGTTCCGATACTAGTTTGTATTTATGAGGAGAATGAAAAAGCACTGCAGTGTTTGGGTGCTCCTGAACTTTGGGAGTCTGCCATTTGTACCGAAATGTGTATATTGCATACAAAGTGTGAAACAAATTCGTTAGTTCTACTTGCATAAATTGTGGTGCGCACGTGGCATTCTGAAACGTTTTCAACTAGATGCACCTGGAAAACTTTAATAAAGCGAAAGCGCTTCATACCGAAACTTTATACCGAACTTTTTTTATTGTTATTGACACTGGTGTTTGGTCAATAAATATGAATACCGTTTTATCGGGCCAGCTCTAAACAGACGTCTTTGGAAAGTTTCCTTCGATAGTTTTTGCAAAGGGAAAAAACCCAGTAAGAGACCCACGAACTGCCAAGGAACGGATCTGCAACCCATTTGTCAACAAATCAGGTGAATCCAGCATGTCTGTGCAAGAAGATTCACTGCAGGAGATCGCAAATGACGACAGCTTTAGGAGCCGTTCACATATCGCGCCTTTTCTAGAGTTTGTGCAAACTCATTACTTCAAATGGCGTGACGGGTTTGTGCCTTCCAGATGTACCCAGTTTAATGAATGTTGCGAGCGCACCGCCAATCACATGACAAGAACTGACTGATCAACTGCTTGAGATCACAAATGACAGCGGCTTTAGGGGCCGTTCGCATATCGCGTCTTTTCTAGAGTTTGCGCAAGTTCATTATTTCCAATGAAGGTGACGCGCTTGTGCCTTCCAGACGCCCCCAGTTGAATGAATGCCGCGAGCTCACCACGAGTCACATGACAAGAACTGACCAATCAGCTTCAGCTTGTATGGAATATAAACATTTCAGCAGACTAATTATCTCAGGCAAACACAGCACACCCAAATATAAAGGTGATATAAAGGTTGGGGACCACTGCTATAAAGTATGAATGCGAGTACTATGAATGGAATTGAGACGTACTACAGACGCCATTTATAATAATCATGTGTCCTACCCGAGTCACTTCCCTTCCACTTTCATTCATTAAATCTCTCCTATTGCATCATGGGACAGTGTAGCGTTCATTGGATGCGCACTTCAGAATCTCGACAAACGTAGTAGGTCATCCGGGTATTTCTCACTACTGTTTTTCAATACTAAAAACAAGCATGGGACGGTAACCGGTTTTAAGGTTTACCGTGGTTTGGAAGGTTTAAGGTTTAAAAAACACTAAAGTTTTCTGTCATATATATGTATATATGTGCTTTTTTGTTGTTGTTGTTGTGCATACGTGCATACTTCACTTTTCACGCACAAGTTTTAATCGTTAAAAAAACAAACTTGATGAGAGAATGTGAGTAAACTCCAAGTAAACATATTTAACTTAAACATTGACTCAATTGAACCACTTTAAAATCATCTTATGAGCCAAAATCATTAATAAATAATTTTTTTTCTGGTGTATGTTCACCTTTAGGAAGGTCTACACAATGTTTATAAATCAGATTATGGAAAAAAAAGAGAAGAGCTGTTTCTTTGTCATGTGATTTATGTTTACATTTTTGGGAATCCTTTTATACTTATTGTTGTTGTTATTATTGTTATTATTATTATTATTATTATTGCTAGGGAATGCATTTACTAACATGAACAAACCCTGAACTTTACATTTATTACAGTATTTATTCATGTTAGTTATTGAAAATACAGTCGTTCATGGTTTGTTCATGTAAACAAGCATGAATTTAAATGTTAATAATGCGTTACTATGATTAATAAATGCTGTGCAAGTATCGTTCATACTTAATACACATTAGTTAATATATTAACTTATGAAACCTTATTTTAAAGTGTGACCTTTTTTTGCAGTTTCATTTGTTTCCTCTTGTGGTGCAAACCCAACATCGGATCATTCTGAAAATGTAACCCTATATACATTTCTGGAGATCACGAATTATGTAGCCAGAGGAACGTACGTCTTTAAAACAAACAATACGGGGCGGTATGACGCCATTCCTTTTTGCACTTAACAGCTGACCGTTTACCTTCATATAGACAGCTTTTCCGCTGTTACCAGTTTGCGTGGAGTGAAGTGAAGTGAACCACGATGATGGTTCGAGTCGGGTGAAGAACGGTTCCAGAAGGCAGGTAAGACAAAAACTAAAGCCAAAAAAATAAAATAAACAAGTAAATAAGAGGGTTAGAATGTGGTAAAATCTGAAACCGTAGTAAAAATCAGGCTGCCGTGACGGCGTTTGTTTTTCTGGATTTTCAAAACACTATCGGTTGGGTTTAGGGAAGGCAGTGGGCGGGTCAGTCGATTGGTTAGTCAGTCGACCACGGCCTCTGCTGGATTTTCATTAGAACAGCAGGTGCGACTGGCACTCGCAAGAGAAATACGAGATCTGAAAAAGCGTACACATCGGCCTCTGGTGGATTCACAAAAACTGCAAAAAAAAAAACGTAGCTCCTGGGTCGTATTTGCCGCTCTCCAGAAATGTATACAGGGGTACGTAATCAGAATGGGCCTGGGTTGTGCAAACTATTAAAACAAATGCTCAGTGAGTGTGTGTTGATAACTGATAGCTGTGTGTGTGTTGATGGGTAGGTGAGAGGCTGCCCAAACCTGACAAAGGAAAGATGCGTTTCCACAAGATCGCCAACGTCAACAAGGCTCTGGATTTCATCTGTAGCAAAGGAGTCAAACTGGTGTCCATCGGTGCTGAAGGTGGGAAACGTTTAACATCAGTACACTGTGTTTACCATACTGCCCCACATGAAAAAATACTCATGTATAGTAACCGCTATAGTTGCTTTGAACTGTACCCTTGTAAAGTACTTGAAGGGATACAGCTGGGGATATTCACATCAATATAGCATGATTTCTGTGACACCGTATGGCAATACATCATATTGTTACTGTAATGGTTGTGGTAGGCGTATACACTAATAAAACACAATTAAAGGATAATTTAATGAATAACACTCTGTATAATTACTGTTTTTACATTACTGTGATGATTGGATTTAGGCAGACGTTAATAAAATACAATTAAAAGGTTAGATTAATGAATATACTCTGTATATTTACTGTCTTTACGTTACTGTAATGGTTGTGGTAAGGGTAGATGTTAGTAAAATACAATTAAAAGGTTAGATAAAGGAATAATACTCTGTATAATTACTGTTTTTACATTACTGTAATGGTTGTGGTAAGGGTAGATGTAAGTAAAATACAATTAAAAGGTTAGATTAATGAATAATACTCTGTATAATTACTGTTTTTACATTACTGTGAGGATTGGATTTAGGTAGACGTTAATAAAATACAATTTAATGTGTAGTTTAATGAATAATACTCTGTATAATTACTGTTTTTACATTACTGTGAGGATTGGATTTAGGTAGACGTCAATAAAATACAGCTTAATGGGTAATTTAAAGAAAAATGTGAATAATACTCTGTATATTTACTGTCTTTACGTTACTGTAATGGTTGTGGTAAGGGTAGATGTTAGTAAAATACAATTAAAAGGTTCGATTAATGAATAATACTCTGTATAATTACTGTTTTTACATTACTGTGAGGATTGGATTTAGGTAGACATTAATAAAATACAGCTTAATGTGTAGTTTAATGAATAACACTTTGTATAATTACTGTATTTACGTTACTGTAATGGTTGTGGTAGGCGTATACGTTAATAAAATACAATTAAAAGGTTAGATTTATGAATAATACTCTGTATAATTACTGTTTTTACATTACTGTGAGGATTGGATTTAGGTAGACATTAATAAAATACAGCTTAATGTGTAGTTTAATGAATAACACTCTGTATAATTACTGTTTTTACGTTACTGTAATGGTTGTGGTAGGCGCAGATGTTAGTAAAACACAGTTAAAAGGTTAGATTAATGAATAATACTCTGTATAATTACTGTTTTTACATTACTGTGAGGATTGGGCTTAGGGTTAGTAGACGTTAATAAACTACATTTAATGGATAATTTAATAACTAATAAGTAGGCCCACACGGAATCTGTGCGCACAGAATTTATTTACTTCTGTAAATGTGTGTAAATATATATTTATTCAGGTTTTTTAATTAATTTCAGTAATATTATTGACTAATATGAAAATATGTATAATATGTAAAGTAATAGTGTCTGTCTTTTAGTAGAGGTGTTATATAATAGACTGGCTTTGTTTACCAAATAAAGTGGATCTAATTGGATTTGCATTGTAAGCATTAAATAAAAGTTAAAAAGGTATTACTTTTTATTTCATATATTAAGTTTTTAGTTATGATTCCCCCAAAATAATTCCGCATAAATCCGCAGATTATCAACAAAAATCTCTGCAGAAATAGCAACAAATGCCCGCAGATTCTGTCTGGCTCTAGTAATAAGTAATTCACATTAACCTCCGGCCTCAGCTGTATCTCTTCCAGCAACAATTGTACATGAATTAATCTTTTGTGGTGATTCTATAGTTGCTATGGTAACATAAACAACTATAATAATATAAACAAATGACCCACCACTGTAGTTTACTACAACTCTAGGGTGTTATACCACCACACAGCCCAGTTTATTGTAGTAAAAACTAAAGGATACTACAGTATTCATTAGTTAATCAGTTCACCAATACCACAGTATGCTGCAGCATTCATTAGCAAAGTGTTGTAAATACTATAATATATACAGTATAATACACTTTACCACAGTATTATATAATATTACACAGTATTATTTACTATAGTAATTTACCACAGTATTATTTACTATAGTAATTTAATTTAAAAGAAAAAATAGAGCTGTTTAGGGCGTCATCACTTTCCATACTGTTTACATTCACTTAGCAAAAGAAATGCCTACAGGCAGATTATTAGATGGCCAACACAGACAGTATTGCGCACTGTTTTAAACGCTGTTTTACATATACAGTCGAAGTCAGAATTATTACGCCTGTATCACACCGCAAGCGCAAGCAGAGCGTGAGCAGTGCTTATGGAGAGCAGAAGCAGTGCGCAGGCGTTTGCCTTTCACACCGACTGCATCTGCAGCGCACAGCTCATCGCAAGCTGCTGCACAGATCAATCCATCTCCGTCTATTCTATCTAGTCACCTATCTATCTATAAATACACTTGTTTTTCATCTGCACCAATGCCCGCTAAAACTTCCTCCCATGCTGTTTCCTAAACCTAAAGGTCTTTAATTTGCAAAAGATATAGATCCTAAAGAACTGTATACTTCTCAAACTCTTTGAGGAGTGTCCTTCATGTCTTTTCAGGTGCACTCGCTCAGAAGACAATCGCCTCTGATATCATAGCATTTTGTTTTTGATTGTCCGGATGATGTAGGCCTGTAGTTAAATTAATGTTTATACAATATAGTTATAATGATATGTATACATGATCAAACTAGTGTGCAACTTACTAAGCAACACTGATACTATAATTGTTTTAAATTTGGTTTTGTAGTTCGGGCCCAATCGTTTAAGTTCATTTGATTGCATATATTAAAACCTGGGGATGTTATTAATACATATATTGGGTAAAATTGTTTCTTTTTTACTGTCATTCAATGTGTTTTTGGTTATTATAAATGCACTGTCACTTTTGTTGAGCGTGAGCAGCCCGGCAAAAATAGACCCAGTGCCGAAACTATCTCGGTGTTGCTGCTTCAGAAATGTTCATGTCTCGCGCTGTCATGCTGCTTCTGTGTGCGGTTTGAAAGCTCTAATCTGTTAACACGCGCCGCTCACGCTCTGCTCACGCTTGCGGTGTGAAACAGGCTTTAGCCCTCCTATATTGTTTCCCCAATTTCTGTTTAACAGAAAGAAGGTTTTCAACTCATCTCTAATAACTGATTTATTTTATCTTTGTCATGATGACAGTAAATAATATTTGATTAGATATTCTTCAGGACAATTCTATACAGCTTAAAGTGACATTTAAAGGCTTAACTAGGTTAACTAGGCAGGTTAGGGTAATTAGGCAAGTTATTGTATAATGATGGTTTGTTCTGTAGACAGTCAAAACAAATATAGCTTAAGGGGGCTCATAATTTTGTCCTTAAAATGGCTTTTAAAAAAATTAAAACTGCTTTCATTCTAGTCGAAATAAAACCAATAAGACTTTCTCCAGAAGAAAAAATATTATAGGAATTACTGTGAAAAATTCCTTGCTCTGTTAAACATCATTTGGCAAATATTTAAAAAAGAATGAACATTTCACAGGAGGGCTACTAGTTTTGTCTTCAGCGTTATGTAAATTATTATAGTAAGAGTGTAAATGTAATCAAGCCTCTCTCTCTCTCCCCCTCTCTCTTTCCCTCCCTCTCCCCTCTCCCTCTCTCTCTCTCTCCCTCTCTCCTCCCCCCCCTCCTCTCTCTCTCTCTCTCTCTCTGCATCTCTCTCCGCACAGAGATTGTTGATGGTAATGTGAAAATGACTCTGGGGATGATCTGGACCATCATCCTGCGTTTCGCCATCCAGGACATCTCTGTGGAGGGTAAAACACACACGCCTGCAGTGTTAAAACACACCAAACTCTCGTATAATCAAACACTCATTAACACTTCATTCATTCATTCATTCATTCATTCATTTTCTTTTCGGCTTAGTCCCTTTATTAAACCGGGGTCGCCACAGCGGAATGAACTGCCAATTTACCCACACATGTTTTACACAGAGGATGCCCTTCCAGCTGCAACCCATTACTGGGCAACCTCCATACACACTCATTCACACACCTACCCAACAATTTAGCCTACCCAATTCACCTGTACCGCATGTCTTTGGACTTTTGGAGAAACCGGAGCACCTGGAGGAAACCCACGCAAACACAGGGAGAACATGCAAACTCCACACAGAAACGCCAACTGAGCCAGCCGAGACTCGAACCTTGCTGTGAGGTGAACGTGCTACCCACTGCGCCACCATGCAGCCCATTATCACTTCAGTCTCTTATTAAAGAAATGTGTGTGTGTGTGTGTGTGTGTGTGTGTGTGTGTGTGTGTGTGTGTGTGTGTGTGTGTGTGTTTGTCTTTCTGTGTATGTGTGTATTTGTTTCGTCTCTGCCTATGTGTCTGTGTTGCGTGTGTGTCTCTTTCTGTTTGTGTGTTTGTATGTTGCTGATTTGTGTATGTCTCCCTCTGTGTGTATCTGTGAGTTAATCTCTGTATTTGTTTCTTTCTCTGTGTGTGTGTATGTGTATTTGAGTGCTGATATATCTGTGTGTGTGTGTGTGTGTGTGTATGTGTGTGTGTCTGTTTGTGTGATATTTTCTTTGTGACTGTATGTATGTTTTTCTGTTGTTTCTCGTATGTGTGTGTGTGTGTGTGTGTGTGTGTGTGTGTGTGTGTGTGTGTGTGTGTGTGTGTGTCCCTTTCTCTCTCACTATGTGTTTGTGTGTGTGTTTCTGTATGTGGAAATTAAAAAAAACATTAAATGTTAAAAAATGTGTGTGTGTGTGTGTGTGTCCACAGAGACGTCTGCTAAAGAGGGTCTTCTGTTGTGGTGTCAGAGGAAGACTGCCCCCTACAGGAACGTCAATGTACAGAACTTCCACATCAGGTAAAGCACACACACTTACACACACTGTTTTGAAATGTGGGGACATTCAATAGGTTTCTATTATTTTTATACTGTAAAAACTCTATTTAATTAAGGAGTTCATTTTAAAAACAGTGGTTTATTCTGAAGAGGGTTAATAATATTGACTTTAGCAGTTTTTACATTTATTTATTTTTTTTATTTCAGTCAAATACACATACATACACATTATACACATGCCGGCCACTTTATTAGGTACACCTTACTAGTACCAGGTTGGACCCCATTTTGCCTTCAGAACTGCTTTAATCCTTCATAGCATAGATTCAACAAGATACTGGAAATATTCCTCCGAGATTTTGGTCCATATTGACATGATAGATTTGTCGGCTGCACATCCATGATGAGAATCTCCGATTCCACCACATCCCAAAGGTGCTCTATTGGATTGAGCTCTGGTGACTGTGAAGGCCATTTGAGTACAGTGAACTCATTGTCATGTTCAAGAAACTAGTCTGAGATGATTCACGCTTTGACATGCGTTATCCTGCTGGAAGTAGCCATCAGAAGATGAATACACTGTGGTCATAAAGGGATGGACATGGTCAGCAACAATATTCTGGTTGGTTGTGGCGTTGACATGATGCTCAGTTGGTACTAATGGACCCAAAGTGTGCCAAGAAAATATCACCCACACCATCACACTACCACCAGCAGCCTGAACCGCTAATACAAGGCAGGATGGATCCATGCTTTCATGTTGTTGATGCCAAATGCTGAACTGAGCATCCGAATGTCGCAGTAGAAATGGACACTCATCAGAGCAGGCAACGTTTCTTCAATCTTCTATTGTCTAGTTTTGGTGAGGCTGTGTGAATTGTAGCCTCAGTTTCCTGTTCTTAGCTGACAGGAGTGGCACCCGGTGTGGTCTTCTGCTGCTGTAGCCCATCTGCCTCAAGGTTGGATGTGTTGTGTGTTCAGAGATGCTCTTCTGCAGACCTCGGTTGTAATGAGTGCTTATTTGAGTTACTGTTGCCTTTCTATCAGCTGGAACCAGTCTGGCCATTCTCCTCTGACCTCAACAAGGCATTTGCGTCCACAGAACTGCCACTCACTGGATATTTTCTCTTTTTTCAGACCATTCTCTGTAAACCCTAAAAATAGTTGTGCGTGAAAATCCCAGTAGATCAGCAGTTTCTGCAATACTCGGACCAGCCTGTCTGGCAACAACAACCATGCCAAGTTCAAAGTCACTTAAATCCCCTCTCTTCCCTATTCAGATGCTAGGTTTGAACTGCAGCAGATCGTCTTGACCATGTCTACATGCCTAAATGCATTGAGTTGCTGCCGTGTGATTGGCTGATTAGAAATTTGCATTAACGAGCAGTTGGACAGGTGTACCTAATAAAGTGGCCGGCGAGAGCCACAGAACAGTTTTTTACTGCAGTTGAGCATTGGTTCTCTGTGCTAGTAATGTTTGGGGTTGTTTTCCTCTGATCTTGAACGTCTGTCTCTGTGTGTGTTTTCTCAGCTGGAAGGACGGCCTGGCTCTGTGCGCCCTCATCCACAGACACAGACCAGACCTCATCGACTACTCCAAACTCAGAAAGGTGCTGCTTCACACATCAGTTCACATCATTTATAATCAGGGCCTACAATTAACACACGGCAAGTGCAAGAGGGCTGAATTCAGTTCACTTTCGCAGAGTATCGCTGCCAAATGCACGCTAATGAGTTAAAATGCTCGTCCTGCTGTATATTCTCCTAAACACTGCTTTGTTTAAAAGGAAAGTAAACAGTTGGAGAGGGATAGTTTTGTTTTACTTGCTTTTTAGGATACACAATAGGAATATGAGATTAAAAAAGCAGACATGGCAAGCAGTGCAAAGAGAATTTCAATGACCAAGTCCAATAAATAATAGATAATAGTGTCTGTAATGACGTAGTCATAAAAATGTACCATATAAAGTATAATGGTAGCATCAGATTTCAGCAGTGTAAGTGTGTGTGTGTTTTCTGAAGGACGACCCCATTGGAAACCTGAACACTGCATTTGAGGTGGCTGAGAAATACCTGGACATCCCCAAAATGCTGGACGCTGAAGGTGAGGTGATCAAATATAACCTGGAATCAAACCGTAAAGCATCTTATTAGCATCAAAGGGCACCTATTATGCAAAACTCACTGCCATGAGGAGTTTAAACACAGTTGTGTGGCAGGAGTGTGTGAATATAACCAGTGTATCCATAATGTATCCATTATGTTATTTATAATCACACTTGATAAAAAGTCAGCAGAAACACTTTGATTGACATTCTCCTTTTATATGTTTCATCAGAGGGGGAAAGCCCCGCCCACTAGTGATCATCTCTCCCTCATTAGCATAGGACTTTAATCTTTTTTTTGAATCTGCCACTATGCTGACACACAGGCATTTTAGCTCCGCCCTCTTTTGAAAAGAGCACAATCTCATTTGAATTTAAAGCGATGGTCAACAAAATGCTACAGTTAGGATCAAAGCCTAAAAGGGGCAGTTTATAAAACATTATTTGCGGTGTATTTTAAGCTTACACTTTACACACACTCTAGAGACATCACAGATGTACTTTACACAGGGCCGGCGCATCCATAGAGGCGACCTAGGCGGCCGCTTAGGGCGGCAGAATAGAGAGGGCTGCCTCCCCGACACTACCCTCACCACCTGCGCCCTCAGTTATATCCGCAGCTAGTGCGGTAGAATAGAGAGGGCTGTGTCCCCAACACTACCCTCACCACCTGCGCCCTCAGTTATATCCGCGTCTAGTGTGGTATAATAGAGAGGGCGGCGTCCCCGACACTACACTACCCTCATCACCTGCGCCCTCAGTTATATCCGCAGCTAGTGCGGTAGAATGGAGAGGGCGGTGTCCCCAACACTACCCTTACCACTCGCGCCCTCAGTTATATCCGCGGCTAGTGCGGTAGAATGGAGAGGGCGGTGTCCCCAACACTACCCTTACCACTCGCGCCCTCAGTTATATCCGCGGCTAGTGCGGTAGAATGGAGAGGGCGGTGTCCCCAACACTACCCTTACCACCCGCGCCCTCAGTTATATCCGCTTGGAGGGCGGCAGAATAAAAGGGCGGCGTCCCCGACACTACCCACCACGCCCTCAGTTATATCCGCATCTAGTGCGGTAGAATAGAGAGGGCGGCGTCCGCGACACTACCCTCACCACCCGCGCCCTCAGTTATATCCGCATCTAGTGCGGTAGAATAGAGAGGGCGGCGTCCGCGACACTACCCTCACCACCCGCGCCATCAGTTATATCCGCGTCTAGTGCGGTAGAATAGAGAGGGCGGCGTCCCCGACACTACCCACCACGCCCTCAGTTATATCCGCAGCTAGTGCGGTAGAATAGAGAGGGCGGCGTCCACGACACTATCCTCACCACCTGCGCCCTCAGTTATATCCGCTTGGAGGGCGGCAGAATAAAAGGGCGGCGTCCCCGACACTACCCACCACGCCCTCAGTTATATCCGCGTCTAGTGCGGTAGAATAGAGAGGGCGGCGTCCGCAACACTACCCTCACCACCTGCGCCCTCAGTTATATCCGCGTCTAGTGCGGTAGAATAGAGAGGGCAACGTCCCTGACACTACACTACCCTCATCAACTGCGGCCTCAGTTATATCCGCGTCTAGTGTGGTAGAATAAAGAGGGCGGCATCCCTGACACTACACTACCCTCATCACCCGCACCCTCAGTTATATCTGCGTCTAGTGTGGTAGAATAGAGAGGGTGGCGTCCCTGACACTACACTACCCTCACCACCCGCGCCCTCAGTTATATCCGCGGCGCCCCAACCCCCCGCCCCCCAATTTCACGTTAGGGTTGAGGGCGGCGTTACCGTCCTTTGCCTAGATTGGCAGTTCAGCTTGCTTCGGCCCTGACTTTACATCTTACAAAATAATAGGCGGCATAATAGGTCCCCTTTACATCTTAATGTAATCAACTTAATTTGAACAGCAATTGATTTTCAGTAGTGCAGAATCACTCCCCCGCCTCATTTAATTTTTTTAATGTGTTATTGACGTTCTTCTTTTAATTGAGGCCTTTCTTCAGTGTTTTAAATTGTCATTTTGTTTTATTGTTGACAAAAGCACTTTGGGCGGCCCCTTCGGTTGTAGTAAGATAAGATACAAAGTGCAAAGACACTATGTATAAAGCATTATAATTATAGTGCTGATTTTGATTTGATCCTTAGACATTGTCAACACTCCTAAACCTGACGAGAAAGCCATCATGACCTACGTGTCCTGCTTTTACCATGCTTTCGCTGGTGCTGAACAGGTAAAAATGATTACGCATCACATTTATTCTGAATTCAGTTTCACAAAATACAATGTAAAGTAATTACTTTCAAAACACTTTGAAGCTGTAAATGAAGTGTGGAGACTCTAATACAGACACATCAACTCTAAACTGAATTGGTTATTGCAGTAAATGAGCTTGTTATCTCCATTTCTCTAGGCTGAGACGGCTGCTAACAGGATCTGCAAGGTTCTAGCTGTGAACCAGGAGAATGAACGGCTGATGGAGGAGTATGAGAAACTGGCCAGCGAGGTGAGAAGATCTGCCTCTTAAATCTCTGATAAACATCCAGTACAGATGATTTTGGATTATTGCATGGCGTAAGATGAGCGATCAACGGGTTTATGGTTTTACATCAGGTTTTGTTCATTGAGATCATCCTTTTTTTAAGAAATGTAAGAAAATGACTAACCTATACCATAAAATAACAAAGGAGATACAGATAAAGACAAAATTATTATCTTAAAGTCTTAAGGCTGATTTTTACTTCTGCGTCAAGAGCACGCATATCAACTTCCAGTTATTGAGAGGTAGTGAGAAGACGCGAGGTAACGACCCTCCCATAATTTTGAATATAAATCCTTTAAACTCGCTTAAATCTTTGAGACATTATTGGTTATTGAACACGTAAAAGTTTACCAACTGTAAAGGCACCGAAAAAGAAGAACAAAACACAAGAAAAGGTGTATAACGAGGCTCAAGAAACGTCGCCGGATTCTGATGACCCAGATGAGGTAAAAGAGACAGAGGATGATGACAGCGAACCCACAAAAACAACTGAGTCGAACCCCAGAAACGCAGATGTGTTACAAGGCATTAGAGAAATGGACAAACGAGTTGCAAATGAAATTGACAGCGTTAGCAATTGTTACAACCACAGTCACAACATTAAATGAGGGAAAAACACAAATGGATCCGTCTAGGGGTTTTATTAATTAAACAATCAAATATAAATAAAGTGTGGGGAGGAAACACAATAAACAAAGGCTGAGAACAAAAAGGAGCACAACTCCACGTCTGGACGGCCGCTCAAATTCCCCGTCTCTGAATCACTGCAGTGCGAGCTCTTAAATTGCCGACGGTGAATTTTCTGCAGGTGCGGAGAAAATCAACTCTAAATGAAAACACAAGCAGCAACACAACACAAGAGGGCGACAAAGTAACAAATAAATAAATAATAAATACATGGACATGTAACAGCAATCAAAGAGATAAATGAACGTGTAAAGGAGGCCGAGGAACACATTTCGGGAGCGGAAGATGAAATCGTTCAACTTAATGCTCGTGCAAATTCCGTCGAGTTAAGAAATTGATGGACAAGGTTGATGACATAGAAAACAAGAGCACGCGTATGCTACGGCGCAGCTTGCGCGTTGACGCATAGCCCTACGCCGTGGTTGTCGGTGTCGCTGACGTGCACCTCTCAAAAAATGTAACAACGTGTAGCGCAAGCTCTGTGATTGGTCGGCTTGATAGCGCTGACGAGTCTGGGCGGGACAGAGAGCCGTGCAAACGGCGCGAGCCTGATGGAGCAATTGTTTACAAGTGTGGAGTCCCGTGAAGGAGCTCCGGATGGTAAGTTTTGTCTTGTGTTTACCTCGTAGTTAAAGTTGCTGCACGTCCGCCGGTTCCTGCCTCAAAGTGAGCGAGTTTGAGCCACTTGTACATTCAGGAAGCGTTCAGAAAAAAACAAAACACCAGCGAAGAAACTCGACACAGAGGAACATTTACACATCACTGCCAACTAGCGTTTCGGAAGTGTTAATGCAGACTAACAGAAACAGCGCACAGAAGTATAAATGCACATCTACATGCGCGTTGCATGCGCCGTGGGTTACGCCGGTCACTTGACGCAGAAGTATAAACCAGGCTTCAGGGTGCTTTCACACTAGCACTTTTGGTCCACACTTGGGTTCTTTGATGTCATATTACGGTACGTTTTGCTAGTGGGAACGTGTCTTCTGAACTCGGGTGTGCACCCGTTAACAGTACCCGAGTCCAATGAATGCAATTGTACCAAAGAACGGAAGTGAACTGCCAACTGTACAACAATCTATTGTTTTCATAACGTTCGTTCACGTGTGTGTGTGTCTGTGTGTGTGTGTGTGTGTGTGTGTGTGTGTGTGTGTGTGTGTGTGTGTGTGTGTGTGTGTGTGTGTGTGTGTGTGTGTGTGTGTGTGTGTGTGTGTTTGTGTGTGTCACGTATTGTACCTTGGTGACAAGCGGGTCTGAGCCAGGGCAAACACAGTAATAATTTCTGCTTGTCTCCTCCAGAAACAGCTTCTGCAGACACTGTGTGATGTTCTGAATGTTTATAATATTTTTGTGGCAAATGGACGCGAGTTGCTTTCTGAATCCCCAAAACTAAAAGATTCAGTAAAAGCAGATCGACCGTGATGTGCGGACATCTTTCCATTTTGGCGCTTTGCTTTCGTGACTGTCACCTAGCAACAGTCGTAAACAAAACAGCAGGTTGATGACGCAAGCGTACCGGGTTCAGAAGGAAAAAAGACAGTGTGAACACAAACCAACGAAGGTGGCAAGGGGGGCAATTGAACTTAGATACGGTCCAGGCAATTGAACCAAATGTGAAAGCACCCTTAAAATGTCTTAAAATTCAAATAGAAAAAAACTTTAGGCTGTAAAAATCTTAAATTCGCTGTAATATTCAATTGTAGGGCTTAAATAATTTCAAACGGGTCTAAATTTTCAAATGTCCAGGTAAAGCTACCCAATCAGGCCAAGAGCTGTATACAGTCACCAACAATACATCTCAATAAAACTTTTAATATTAAACTCTATTTTACAATACGGTTCCTCACAATAACATTTGTAAGTTCTCCATGTAGTTGTAGACCAAACTTGTGGACGTTTAGGTTATTATAGTTTTTAAAGCTTGTCAAAGAAAGATTTGCTTGTTCTGACACATTATTTAAGTATTATTTAAGTCAGAGGTTCTCAAACTGTGGTATGTATACCACTAGTGGTACGCGGACTGCCTTCTAGTGGTACCCAGAGTAATCCAATAGTCATTTGTACATGCAACATATAGTAAAATATTATCAAAAATGGTTCATTTATGAATATGATGACATATAGCCTTTATTTATGAGGTCCAAACAGCATTTCCAGGCTTTGATAAAAAGGATACTATAGGTTTACACTTTCCATTTAAGTACAGGAGATTATTTTTTTACTTTTTAATAACAGTAGCCGACCATTTTTAATAAACGTTTAAAAGCACATTTTAATTAAATTTAAAAACAAATAAATAATTAAATTAAATTAAATAATTAAATTTGATTTAATTAACGTTGACATTTTATTTTGTTTGTTTGTTTTTTTTTACATATAAGCACAGCAGTGTTAATGTTCAAACTATTTATAAGGTTTAAAGTGGCCGATAATAATAAATATTATTAATAATATTTAATTCAATTCAGCTTTATCTGTATAGCGCTTTTACAATGTATATTGTGTCTAAGCAGCTTCACATAATTGGTCAAAGTAACTGGAACAGTGTGGTTCAGTTTTTAGTGTTTAAGTTCAGTTCAGTTCAGTTTAGCTCAGTTCAGTGTGATTTAATCATTACTGAGAGTTCAAACACTGAAGAGCAAATTCATCAATGCGTAGCTCTACCAATCCTGAACCATACAAGCCAGTGGCGACAGCGGAGAGGGAAAAAAACTTCACCTTAAAGGAGAGTGAAGAAAAAAAACCTTGAGAGAACCAGACTCAGTTGGGCACGACCATTTTAATTTCTCCGCTGGCCAAAAGTATAAGTAATAGTAATTAATATGCCACGTTTTTAAATTGTGCAGAGATGCAGATGCTTAATTAGGCCTACTATGCTACTGTATTTCAATACTGGTCATATGGTGGTACTTGGAGGGACAATTTTTTCTGAGGTGGTACTTGAAGAAAAAAGTTTGAGATCCCCTGATTTAAGTAATTAGATTTTTTTTTTAATGGGACAAGCAAATCCTTTATGTTTAGCCCTGTATGAGTGTGAAATTTCATTCATAATGGTCTTAAAAGTCTTAAATTTGACTTGTTGAAACCCTGTAGAAAAGAAAGTGTCTGGTGTATAGGGAGAGAAAAACAGTACAGGTGGTTTGTGAAGCGCACTCAATAATAAACCTCGATATCTTCATAAACGTCCTCCAATGTCTCTCAGTCTCCCTCAGTAACTCCTCTATGTTCCTCTAGCTGCTGGAGTGGATCCGCCGCACCATCCCCTGGCTGGAGAACCGCGCGGCGGAGCAGACCATGCGCGCCATGCAGCAGAAGCTGGAGGATTTCCGGGACTACAGGCGCGTTCACAAGCCTCCGCGCGTGCAGGAGAAATGCCAGCTGGAGATCAACTTCAACACCCTGCAGACCAAGCTGCGCCTGAGCAACCGTCCCGCCTTCATGCCCTCCGAGGGGAAGATGGTGTCGGTGAGTCCAAAACAGCCTGCATGAAAACTACTAGTAATCTGAGTTTATGAACAGCACACCCAGACATTTGGCCAAAATCAAAAACTTCATGCGATTTAACTTATTAATCAGGTTTTTAACCAAACGTGTGTGTGTGCAGGACATCGCTAACGCTTGGAAAGGTCTGGAGCAGGTGGAGAAGGGTTATGAGGAATGGCTGCTCACTGAGATCCGCCGTCTGGAGAGACTCGATCATTTGGCTGAGAAGTTTAAGCAGAAATGCTCCCTGCATGAGTCCTGGACCACAGGTAACCACCCCTAGGGGCCGTTCACATATCGCATCTTCATTCATTTTCATTTGGCTTAGTACAGGGGTTTTCAAAGTGTGAGGCGCGCCTCCCCTGGGGGGCGCCAGAGCATGTTAGGGGAGGCGCGGGAAAAAAATATTATATAATAAAAATATAATTAAGTTTAATTATTATATGTATTTTTATTATATTTAAACGTTTTAATTAAACAAAGCTAAAAAAAATAATGCATCAAAAATAAGAAAACCCTTTTTACCCAGAAGGCCATAGCTGAATTCGCTTCTGTTTGGCAAGCCCGTCAATACTGGTATATGCCTGCTAATACATCGGTTTCTGAGACCCCCCGATTCAAAGCCTTCAAGTTCACGGCTTAAACCCAAAAGACGACGATATGATGATCAGTATTTGAGTTTAGGATTTACGTGGACAGGACCAGCTGATGAACCATGACCTTTATGTGTGGTTTGTCAAGATATTTTGGCTAATGACAGCATGAGACCCGCTAAATTTTGACTGTTTTGACTGGGATGGACAGTTCTTGGATCTGTTCTATTCATATTGAACCATCATCCTAGTTTTAAAAACGTTAAATTAAAATACTTGTTATTACTCTGTAAATAATTGCACTTTCATGCAAATGATGATAAAAGTGAGTTAACAGTCTGACATCTGTCTGTGTCTTTATATATATATATATATATATATATATATATATATATATATATATATATATAATTTGTGTGTGTGTGTGTGTGTGTGTGTGTGTGTGTGTGTGTGTGTGTTTGGGAGGAGGGGGGCGCCAATGGATAAGTGGTGTCAAAAGGGAGGCCCACTGTCTTAGACTTTGAAAAACCCTGGCTTAGTACCTTTATTCATCAGGGGTCGCCACATCGGAATTAACCGTCAACTATTCCAGCATATATTTTACACAGCGGATGTTCTTCCAGCTGCAACCCAGTCCTGGGAAACACCCATAGATTCTTATTTACACAAATGCACTATGGACAATTTAGCTTATCCAAGTCACCTATAGCGCATGAGTTTGGACTGTTGGGGAGACCGGAGCAGCCGGAGGAAACCCAGGCCAACACGGGGAGACCATGCAAACTCCACTGAAAAATGACAACTGACCCAGCTGAGGGTCAGTCCAGCGACCTTCTTGCTGTGAGGCGACAGCACTACCCACTGCGCCACCGCGATACCCCATATCGCCTCTTTTGCACACAAATTTGTTACTTCCAATCCGCTTGTTAAGTGGTGACGTGTTTGTGACGTATGTATACTGTTTCCGCGTCCAAGCCGCCATCCACTTGAGTGGAGAAATCATTCAGTTATGATCACTTTTTATTCATATCGCACATTAAAGTTAATTTTATATAAAGTCATAGTGTACACGACAATCTCTGGGCTTGCTGCATAACAAATAACCAAATTTTAACAATTTATAAAACAATGAATCACTTTCTGGCATTCGGATATTGGGCATGGACATATATACTGCGACCGTGACTTTCGAAAGTATTAAATCGCTTTGTAAACGTTTATTATTACCATTTCATGAGTCTCCCCATTCAGTTGAATAGAGCGCTTGGACCCGGAAGCCGCTCCGCGTGACGTCACACTTAACAAGCGGATGGAGGCACACAGCCTGTGTATGCAAATAGGGAATGACGTGCTCGTGTTTTCCAGGTGCACACAGTTGAAAACACCTTAACTTTCTTAGAATGCTGTAAACGCACATGAGTCATGTGACAAGAACTAACCAATTAGCTTCATATTTTATATGAAATATAGACGTTTCAGTAATAACGGTAGACTAATTACCTCAGACAAACACAGAGCACCCAAACACTGCAGGGCTTTTTACTTTCCTCCATAAATAAACTTGTATCAGAGCTGCAACAAGGGTTTGTCTGCCATTTGGATCGCCAGAAGTAGTGCTGCACAATATATGGTTTGAGCATCCTTATCGCAACATGTGTGTCGTCCGCAGTAGTCACATCGCAGGATTATATTACTTATTTAAGGCTCTATCAAACACCTGGCGTATAATAAATTGTTGTTTGCTAGTTTCAGCTCGGTGCAAGAGTCATTTTGACGTTTTGCGCCACGCTGTTTAAATAGCAAATGCTTTTGCGCCCATATGTGCGCCCATAGACCAGAACAAAGCCGGTCTATTGTCCAGTGCAGAGCGCATTAGTTGTGAGCCTCGCTTACACACTGCTTAATACACAGAAGATGTAGAGCAATACGCAAATATCTTTAAATGAAAAATAGTTAGAATATTAAGGACATATATAGGATATAATTAAGGATAGATATAGGATATAAATATAAAGGATTACAATATTACAAAACATATTATTTTCTAGCCTACATAAATATAAAAACTATACTTTCATGCCTTCTTCATCTCAGGGGTTTTTTCAGTTTATTCTTGACAATTTGTTTTTGTATAATGTTATTATTATTAGCAGTATTATTTATTATATCCATATTTATATTTGTTTTATTCAAAGCAAGCTTAGATTTGCCCACCTGTCAGGTTTTAGACCATATGGGGCATGGCATGTGTTTTAGGATATAACTCAGGTTTTTGACCACTCTTAGTTATTATTGTTCATTTATTCGTTTGCTGGAAATTAGAACTGAATTTAGAAATAGTTTTGAAACAAATCTTTGCGCTTAACAAGCGAAATTAATTATTTATAGGCTAATGGATGTCTGTGCGTAAAGGTTTCTCTATCCACGAGAGCGAAAGTGATAGTAGATAATGAGGAGGCTCATCTCTCATTCTCGCACTGTAGATACTCTGTTTAACTGTTTTCTTGCTAGTGAAATGTTCAGTTTTTCCACTTACAAAGTCGTCATGTAAATAGCAATTGCACCATGGTGTGACGCAGCTGACTCTTAAAGGGAATGGGAGATGAGACTCTGATTGGTTTATTCTCAAAACACACCTATAACTCATTATAAAATAAGCGGCGCAAAGCGGATTTTTCCGTCCTTATATTAGCAAAAGTGGATTCTGACACGCCCTGAATACGTTTACGCGCTGCGCTTTGCATTTTGCGCATGGATCATCAAAATAGAGCCCTTAATATTAAACGATAAAGGTATAATGAAATATTATTATTGTTATTTTATAATTGTTTCTAAAATGATGACCATGTTATTCTATGTGTAACTGTAAAATTTTTGTTCCTGAATACTGAAGACTCTGCAGAAAACCATAAAGCGCTGTTATTTCACTTTTTCACTGCTCTGTTGTATTTATATTTGCTTGTAATTTATTATAACTTATGCATAGAAAAATACCTTATCATCTAAATCTATCCAAATTAATGAACTGTTTCCAAATACAGCTAGTCAATTCATCTGGTGAAATTATATTGATATCACAATATATATGACAGTAAAAGAAAATATTGCTATGTCAGATTTTTCCAATACCATGCAGCCCTAGCCAGACCCAGTGAGAGAGAGAGCTGCGAAAACATAACTCCAAAATGTTGGATCATCATGCGGTTAATATAGACTCAATAGGTTTCATGATTAATTAAATTCACGTTAAAACTAACACAAACTTAATTTCAGAAGCTTTGTACTTTTCAAGTGTAAAACCAGCCGTCTTCAGCAGTAACTCTAAATAGCTCTAAATGCTAACTTCCGGGAACTATTGAGTAGCTCCAAGAGCCACAATTGCTGTTGAAAAAACTTTCTATTGGAGTCAATGGAGTTGAACTCTCTCTCTCTTTGGATCTGGGAAACCGTATTGAAATTGTTGAAGGAAGCGTCACACTTTGTGCACTTCATGTGTTATTAGATGCGATTTAATCAATCCATAATACATTTTTAAAATAATAATAGAATATTGTGGCGAGGGGGCGTGGCCGAGAGCCGTGGGAACGGGGTGAGGCCACCGCGTAAGTGGATACACCTGCGGTGCGCACCTGCCTCGGATCCCACGGAAGGAGCTCTGGACCATAAAAGGAGGACCGATGGCAGAGGAAGCCGAGAGAGGATCGGGCCCGGACTTATTTTACTTTTGCTTTCAGTTTGACGGCAGTCTCCGTGAGGAGCTGCCGTCCGTTTGTTTTGGTTTGTTTTGGTTAGTGGTTTAGTTGGTTTTGGTTTGGTCATTGTTATTAATAAATATTTTAAACCTGCGTCGGTTCTCCGCCTCCTTCTTCCCGGCGGCCAAAGGGCCGTAAACTTCGTTACAAATATATACAATTTTCTTATGTTTAATTTATGGATTTTTTAAAGTTTAACTAATACATTTTAAAAATTAATTAATAATACTAATAATTTTCTTAAATTTCTGTCACACTCTAAGCAATCTACGAGTTTAAATCTATAAGTGGTTTGGAGTTTGAGTCAGAAGAGTTTTACGAGTGTCTGATTTATTGGTGTGTTTGTGTGTGTTTTTCAGGAAAGGAGCACCTGCTGTCCCAGAAGGACTATGAGACGGCCTCTCTGATGGAGATCCGGGCTCTGATGAGGAAACACGAGGCGTTCGAGAGCGATCTGGCCGCTCATCAGGACCGCGTGGAGCAGATTGCAGCCATCGCTCAAGAGCTGAAGTAAACAAAAACAAACAAAAATCAACTCTCAAAATCATTTCCGGGTCACGTTTTAGCTCAAAATCATGACGTGCATGAGAAACAGAAGCATTGCTTTCTTGTTGTTTTCATGATTATTGTTCTCCACTCTAATTCTTATTACTTTAAAGTTATTTAAATAAGTCAGAAAGTAATTTGAATTTATACGAAATGATGAGAATTAGCATTGAAAGTATCTGTCTTTATCAGTAAAAGAAAGAGAATTTTGTTCAAATTAAAACAAGACATTTTAGCACAACATTTGCTGGTTTCACCTGGATGCACAATTAATCTAACGTGGTGCATTCTTGTATTTTGATGTTCGTAAACCAACAGCAGATGATTTGTCATGCTGGTCGCGACGTGCTGCTTGCAACACATCATATATTGCAATAATTACACTTCGCTTTGCCTTTGTTTTTCACTACATGTAGCCCTTTGAGCACGTTGCGGTCCACCTAATGTTTAGATTATAGCTAATTCAAGGTGCCCTAAGTTCCTGCCAGACTTTCAAGTGTAAAAATAAAAATGTGCGCACGTACACTAAACGATAAGAGGAATCGAAATTTTAATTTCATATCAAGTATCTGATTCTTAATCTATTCGATTCCAGAATTGGAATCTATTTTCGATTCCCGACCCTGTTTTACAATAATGAACCAAAAAGTGGGCTAGAAGTAAATGACTTGTAAACTAACAGTAATCATATTTATAATTGCAGAAGAAAAACTGTGTACTCCTGGTTAAATTTCATTATTCATCAATGTAAAAGTATACATTTATAAGCTAAAATAAGCTAACTTTGAATAGAAAGGGAAGTGAAATACATTGATAAAGATTTTAAGTTATTACTTAACGGTAAGATATGCTTTTTTTAATGCTGTTTTCTTTTTGATTTGGGGTGAAATGTGATCAATTCAATTTATCTTTCTCTCTGTGTAGTGAATTAGACTATCATGATGCTGCTACAGTGAACGCTCGCTGTCAGGGCATCTGTGACCAGTGGGACAATCTGGGGACCCTGACCCAGAAGAGGAGAGATTCTCTGGAGGTGCACAAACTCATTATACTTACCCTATATTAGACTCATTCCAGAATTATGGGTACATTTTCTATGAATTTACCTTGAACTGAAATAGTATACATTAAATGTATAATTTACAATAAACTGAATCCATTAATAAAAAGAATAATTCTTGATGTACAATATAGCCAAATGCTTGAATATGTTTGTGACAATAACGACAGTAAAAATAAGGTTAAAATAACGAAGTTTATAGTAACAGAGCTGACAATAACAGAGTTGACTATCAAAATTGACTGTAACAGAGTTTACGGTAATGGAGTTGAAAATACAGTAACAGAGTTTACGGTAATGGAGTTGACAGTACAGTAACAGAGTTTACGGTAATAAAGTTGACAGTAATGGAGTTGACAGTAAAGTAATGGAGTTGTGGTGACAGTAACAGAGTTGATGGTAATGAATTGACAGTAATGGAATTGACAGTAACATAATTGACAGTAAAGTAAGGGAGTTTAGAGTAACAGAGTTGAACGTAACAGAGTTGATGGTAACTGAGTTAACAGTAAATGTATGGAGTTGGGAGTAACAGAGTTGGCGGTAACGGAGTTGAGGGTAATGAAGCTGATGGTAATGGAGTTGACAGTAACGAAGTTGGCAGTAACAGTTGACGGTAGCATAGTTGACAGTAACGGAGTTGACATTAAAGTAACTGTAATAGAGTTGAATTTAATAGAGTTGACGTAATGGAGTTGATGATAATTGATTTGACGCTAACGGAATAGATGTTAATGGAGTTGACGGTAATGGAGTTGACGGTAACAAAATTGATAGTAACAAAGTTGACAGTAACATAGTTGACAGAAATGGTAACGGAGTTGACATTAAAGTAACGGTAATAGAGTTGACATAATGGAGTTGATCGTAATTGATTTGACAGAAAACGGAATTGATGTTAACGGAGTTGATGGTTACGGAGTTGACTAACAAAGTTGACAGTAACAAAGTTGACAGAAATGGTAACGGAGTTGACATTAAAATAACAGTAATAGAGTTGACGTAATGGAGTTGATCGTAATTGATTTGACAGAAAACAGAATTGATATTAACGGAGTTGATGGTTACGGAGTTGACAGTAACAAATTTGACAGTAACAAAGTTGACGGTAACAAAGTTGACAGTAATGGTAACGGAGTTGACATTAAAGTAATGGTAATGTAGTTGATTGTAATAGAGTTGACGTAATGGAGTTGATGGTAATTGATTTGACGGTAACAGAATTTATGTTAATGGAGTTGACGGTAACGGAGTTGACGGTAACGGAGTTGACGGTAACGGAGTTGACAGTAACATAGTTGACAGTAACACAGTTGACAGTAATGGTAACGAAGTTGACATTAAAGTAACGGTAATAGAGTTGACTGTAATAAAGTTGACTGTAATAGAGTTGACCTAATGGAGTTGATCATAATTGATTTGACAGTAACGGAATTGATGTTAACGGAGTTGATGGTTACGGAGTTGACAGTAACAAAGTTGACAGTAATGGTAACGGAGTTGACTTTAAAGTAACGGTAATGGAGTTGATTGTAATGGAGTTGATGGTAATTGATTTGATGGTAAAGAAATTGATATTAATGGAGTTGACGGTAACGAAGTTGACAGTAACAGAGTTGAGAGTAATGGTAACAGAGTTAACGGTGACGGAACTGATGGTAACAGAGTTGACAGTAACGGAGCTGACAGAGTTGACCAAAAGCAAGTTGATGGTAATGGTGGAGTTAACTGTAATGGAGTTGACCATAACTGAGTTGATGATAATGGTGGAGTTAACTGTAACGGACTTGACCATACTTGAATTGATGGTAATGGTGGAGTGAACTGTAACGGAATTGACGGTAACGTAGTTGACCATAACCCAGTTGATGGTAATAGTGGAGATGACTGTAATGGAGTTATTGGTTCCCAAGTTGATGGTAATGGTGGAGTTGACTGTAAGTTGGAGTTGGAGTTGGCAGTAACTGAGTTGACAACCATAACCGAGTTGATGGTAACGGCGGAGTTGATGGTAACCGAGTTGACTATAACAGAGATGACCATAACCGGGTTGGTGGTAATGGTGGAGTTGACTGTAACAGAGTTGACAGTAACAGAATTGACAACAACAGAGTTGACCATAACGGAGTTGACCATAACCGGGTTGGTGGTAATGGGGGAGTTGACTGTAACAGAGTTTACGGTAACAGAATTGACAACAAAAGAGTTAACCATAACGGAGTTGACCATAACCGAGTTGATGGTAGCGGTGGAGTTGACAGTAACGGAGTTGACAATAACAGTTTTTTGTGTCATAGCTCAAGATGCTAACCTCAAACTCAAATACATTTTATCTTATTTTCATCATATTATAGTTTTTAAAGAGTGAATTAGAAATTCAATGAAATATCAGAGTTGACACATAATAAAACTACTATTAGTATACTGAACATTTTGGACTAATGAATGAGAAAAGAATAAACGACGCCTCAATGCCTTCCAGAGTTTCCCACCAGCGAAGATTGTCATGCCTTTTTATAAGCAATGTAACAAAGTTGACAACATAGCGACAGACAACATTTTCTTTTTTAATACTGAAATGATGAATAATAGAGCAAGAAACGTGTCATGCAATTTAGTAGATTAAACAAAGAAAATGAAGATGAAAGTTAAACTTAATTATTAAATAATTGAAGCTGAATGTATGATGGCAGGCAGACACCATGAAAGGGGAAATTTTGGAGTCTTTGAGGTAATATTTCTAGACAAAATATCCCTAAATACACAAACAAACATGATTTTAAGAGATAACTTGATATAATTGGTGTTATTATACAAACCTGTAAAAATGTACCGGCAATTCCAGCATCACCCAAATGTATATCTAGGATTCCAGTCATCCTCAATGCAGAAACTTTACAAGGAAAGCTTTTAAAAATGTTTTTGTGTATGGCTAAAGCTGATTCTGTCCTTATGCCCACCCCCAGCGTGTAGAAAAGCTTTGGGAGACGATTGATCAGCTGTACCTGGAGTTCGCCAAGAGAGCAGCTCCCTTCAACAACTGGATGGACGGAGCCATTGAGGATCTGCAGGACATGTTCATCGTGCACAGCATCGAGGAAATCCAGGTCAGCAGCTTGTGAAAAGCACATAATTCAACAAATATGACTAGCAATTATGAGTTGTCTCTACGTGTTGTGTTCCATATGTAAAAATATACATACTACCTGAGTAAGTCTTGTCGTGAATCCCAGTTGCAAGAGCAACAGATAATAAGTCGACTTCTAGTTTGTCATTTGGAAAAGTGGCAGAAGGTCAATTTTTCTGATGAATCACAGTTGAACTGAATCTCAATCATCACAAATACTGCACAAGACCTACTGGAACCCGCATGGAGCCAAGATTCTAACAGAAATCAGTCAAGTTTGGTGAAGGAGAAATCATGGTTTGGGGTTACATTCAGTATGGGGGCGTGCGAGAGATCTGCAGAGTGGATGGCAACATCAACAGCCTGAGGTATCAAGACATCTGTGCTGCCCATTACATTACAAACCACAGGATAGCGCTCCTCATACTTCAGCCTCATCATCAAAGCTCCTGAAAGCAAAGAAGGTCAAGCTGCTCCAGGATTGGCCAGCCCTGTTACCAGACATGAACATTATTGAGCATGTCTGGGGTAAGATGAAGAAAGAGGCATTGAAGATGAATCCAAAGACTCTTGATGAACTCTGGGAGTCCTGCTGTCTTTGCCATTCCAGATGACTTTATTAATCAGTGATTTGAGTCATTGCAGAGATGTATTTATGCAGTCCTCCAAGCTCATGATGGAGTCAGACACAATATTCATTCTGTTTATACCGGACATTATTTCTGTTCAGTGACAAAGCAAAGTCAGACCTTACTGTCTTAATTAAACCATTAATAATCAAGGCATGATCATATTTTATTGTGGTAAAATAAGCGTCATCTAGAGGCCTTTGCCTTCTATATAAGCCACGTCTGATACCAAATGATCAACTAGAAGTCAAGTTATTATTTGTTGTTCCTAAAACTTGGAAGACTGTTGTCAGGTAGTGTGTATATAGACAGTACACACAGATATATTATTTAATTACAGACTTTTTTGTATGTGATTAGTCAAGAATAATCATAAACAGCACCAGCAAAAAGCTTCCATAGTATGTTGAGATGCAAGTTTAAATTAAAGCGAGAATAAAATGTCACGTCCATAATATGATGCAGTTTTGACTACAACACAGCATTCACCCTGAAAAAGAAAACGGCTTCATGTTTGTCCTCTGGCAATATTCACTCTACTTCAGTGGTTTCAAAGATGGAGCATGCTTGTGTATTTGAGTTAAAAGTTTTGTGAAATCTTCTTTTAAATGTCGTGCGCTAGTGATAGCAGCAGATAATCATTTCTGCGCCCACATTAATCTTTGCATTGCAGGTGCGAGTTGAACTTTGTTGCTGCGTCTATTTTTGTCACTGATGCAGAAAACACTGTAATGCACCGCAAACCTATTCATCAGCACAATCATGTGCAGCACAGGCTTTTATGAAGGACACCTCGGCCATTACTGCATAAAAGACCTTCATTTTCCACACGCAGCGGCAGAAACGGCACACTCTCTTCTGAATAATCATTTTATAATTTATAAAGGCAATAGTGAATGACCCAGAAAAATACGCTGTTTTCTGTGCTCATGCCGCAGAAACTGCTATGCTGTGCAGAGTCAGCGTTTACGTTTTTTAGAGAATCAACTATGATTAAGAAGTTTACTGATAATTGAAATGAGAATAAATGTTTTAAATATACATTCACTGGAAAAACAAGACGAAAATTAGCTGCACATTTTCATTTTAAAGGGCCATGACACCCCCCTCTTTCGGTTAAAGTCTACTTCAGAATTTTTTCAAAAGATGCATGATTAATGGGCGTGGAGCTCCGCGAGCATCGGGCAGGAGTGGGCGTGGCCAGCAGGGGAGAAGGGGAGCGAATAACTGTTGTTGTCAGCTAGCTTACAAAATGAGACACAAAGAGGAGACGCATGAGTTTATAGTTTACAAAGTTAAAATGCAAAGAAATGAACAGTGATTTAATGCCCTGCTACATTTGTTATTTGTAATTTCATATACAGACAACAACAATTTATATCATTATAAAGATAAGTGTGTTCATGTAAACACTATAAATGAGGATTCTCCCTCAATCCCCGTATCCAGCAGACTCAGTGCAGCAGGTCTCCTGACCCGTCTATTTTAACCATTAGCCCTGCTGGTAATATAGAGGATTTAGGCAAACACAGCAGCACAATGATGTGTCTGAATGTGAACGAACTCCTGACAAAAGACAGCGTCCGCCATTCTCTAATTCTCGGGCTGCTCTCCCGACAAATATGCTTGCAGCACACACACAGCTTTGCTGTATGATCGACTCTGACAAGATCGCGGGGGAAAACATGCAACAAACCCCGTGGATGATGGAAACAAACACATATGAGCCTTCATGAACGGCTAAATACTGTGCAGTGGTTTCCGTGTCTCTCAGCTTGACACTGGCAGGTCTGTCAGGTCTGATGAATAATTAAGCAGCCGGCTCTTCTCATAGGATAAGAAAACTCCGCTATGAATAATAATGAGAAACCGACGCGTCATCATTGCACTTGCAGTTCTGCGCTACGTCGCCGATTTTGATCCCGCCCCAAAAATCATTTTAAACCCGGAAGCTGAAATTAGCTGACAAAAGCTCAAAATTATCCAGTTTTCCCCACAATTAAAGCTGACAGCTGCTAACATTGTCTTAACTGATGCTCAACACACACACATCTGTTAATCCAAAAAAAAAAGTTCTCCGGGGTGTCCTGAACCTTTAAACCAGAAAGAAATGCTGAAGATGTCATTTTGCTTGTCATGTGAATAGATCTTATAGATTTAAAGTCCATGTGAAATATAAACCCTTTTTTTTTTTAGATGTTACTATCACTATGTTAGTCTAAAAGGTGCTGTATGTAAGTTTTTGACTCCTCTAAAGCAGTGGTTCTCAAATTTGTTTTTATCAAGTACCACCTCAGATTAAAAAAAAAAAGTCTCTCCAAGTACCTCCATAATAACGAGGCAGATTAATTAATGGAGTTTGTGTCAACCGCACACAGAGACTAACTTTAAAGGGCACCTATGGTGAAAAATCTACTTTTCAAGCTGTTTGGACATACATGTGTGTAAGTATAGTGTATATACTGTCATATTGGGGTGATATAAACACACCCAGTCCTTTTTTTTATTTAACAACATAAAAACGATGGACCAATTGGAGCAGCTTTCAGATCGACCGCAACTTTACGTAGGAGTGCGGTCCCCCGCCCACCAATAATGATTGACAGCTGCGAGCATTTTTGTTTAAAAAAAGGGGGAGGGGCTACTCTATGGTTGTGTTTTTTTTTTTGTTAATTGTTTGAATCTCCCTTTGTCCATCAGAGTCTGATCACAGCTCACGACCAGTTTAAAGCCACTCTTCCCGAGGCCGATAAGGAGCGAATGGCCGTGATGGGCATCCAGAACGAGATCGTGAAGATCGCTCAAACCTACGGCATCAAGCTGGTCGGAGTCAATCCATACTCAGTGCTCAGCCCACAGGACATCACCAACAAATGGGAGGCTGTGAGTACAGAGTAAACACACACACACACACAGACTGTACAAATCTTGAACTGAACTGTGCTAAATAATAACAGTGTTGTATTCAACAGAGCTGTTTTTAGCCAAATCAGTAACTTTTAGTGATTGCACCAATTGGGAAATTTTTCGCAATACCAATAACTGATATATTTAGAACCCGATATCCAAATATATACAGTCAGAATTATTAGCCTTCCTGAATATCGTTTCCCCCAATTTCTGTGTTACAGAAAGATTTTTTTTTTCCTTTCATCACATTTCTAAGCATAATAGTTTTAATAACTCATTTCTAATAACTGATTTCTTTTATCTTTGCCATGATGACAGCACATAACATTATATGTTAGATATTCTTCAAGATACTAGTATTCAGCTTAAAGTGACAGTTAAAGGCTTAACTCGGTTAATTAGGCAAGTCACTGTATAACAGCGGTTAAATAACAGGGCTAATAATATTTGTAATGTGAGACAAAACATGATTATAACCCAAAATAAACTCATGGCTTCACATGGCAAAGCAAAAACCGAACAAACTCACCACCAGAGATTACATAAACAATGCTAGACAAAGAACAAGGAAACATGACGGTAAATATATATATCAAACACTAAAGATCACATGACATGAAACAACCAAAGAGAAACCAGAGAGTTGCAAAGATGAAGAACAAGACACTAGACTGAGGCTGTTTCTCAATATGCGTTTTTCAGCGATCTTCCGTTCTTGTGTTCTCATGTAATGTCAGAGAACGAAGCACACGTGAAGGTTCCCGTATGTGTTCTTGATATTGATGATGCATGGATGCAGACTTGAGCACTGAACTCGCTCTAGAAGTCCCAGAAGTCATTGCGACTGGAGGTGGGAAGCGCAGCATTTTATATAGGTTTATTATTAAAGTTCAGAGAAATGACTTATTTACCTCAAGAGTTTCCCTAAATGAAAAAGTGAATATAAACATTACTATGAAAATCTTTAGAAAGACAAACACATTAAGGGTGTTTATTTGATGAAATTCGTATTAAAATCAGTTTTATTGAAATTGTGCAGCGTAAATTTGTGAAGTCTTTATGCAGAATCAGAATCAGAAAGAGCTTTATTGCCAGGTATGTTTGCACATACAAGGAATTTGTTTTTGTGACGGAGCTTCTACAGTGCAACAGAATTACAGAGACAGGACAATAAACAGATAATAAATATATAAAAAAGCAGTAAGAAGTGAATGTAAAATATACAAATAGACAAGTGTATGTAGAGCTGTATTACTATATACAATGTTATATGTGCAGCTGTTATGGCCAAATTGGCATGTAAAGTGTGTTGTTAAATAAGTGTATATGTGTATAAAAGTGTATGGCAAGTAGTGATGTTTGTTCCACAAATATAATTATCAAGTGTTCATGAGATGGATTGCCTGAGGGAAGAAACAGAGTATATATTGTGAAATGGGGGGATCAATAAATCGTTGTATGAATGCTGTAAAGTTTAAATAATTTTACATTAAAAATGCGTGAAGGTCGTGTGACCATCAAGAAGAACGCAGTATCTTATTTCTCACAGGACGCGTTCTCTGCCCTCGTGGTCTCCCGAGTTCATTCTTCCGTGGTGACCTGGCAAGACCGGTCTCCACAAGTCCGTTCTCTGCGTTATTGGAATTGAGAAACAGCCTAAATCAACCAATGAAAACATGACACACATACACAGGAAACAGAGCAGGAAACAGGAGGACAAGACTAAATTACAAAATAAAAGACAAGACACCATGACACACCTTACTATATTAACCTTTAAAAAAACTAAAAACTGCTTTGATTCTAGTCAAAATGAAGACTTTCTCCAGAAGAAAAAATATTAGAGGTAATACTGTGGAAAATTCCTGAATCTGATAAACGTAATTTAGGAAATATTTGAAAAATAAAGAAAAAAAAAAATCACAGGAGGGCGAATAACTCTGACTTACACTGTATGCCAGTAAATTAAATTCTCTATATGAATCATAACAAATGGGGACATTTCTTATTTAAAAAAAAAAAATAATAATAATTTTCATTACAAATATGGAAGAAATGTTTTTGGACCTATATATATATATATATATATATATATATATATATATATATATATATATATATAGTCAACATGTCAAATACATTTCAAAATGACATTTAAATGGACAGAAATTTAAGCTGAGCTGTGACTCTGGTCTGTCGACCCCTGCAGGTCAAGCAGCTGGTTCCCCTCAGAGACCAGATGCTGCAGGAGGAGGTTGCCAGGCAACAGGCCAACGAGAGGCTGAGACGCTCGTTTGCGGCTCAGGCAAACATCATCGGACCCTGGATTCAGACCAAGATGGAGGTGAGATGTTCTCAAGAGTCTACAAGACTGAAGGAAATCATAGGAGCTTCAGTGCTAGGAAATAAAATAGCAAAAATCTGCTACATTCTACCGATGTCTGATTGTTACTATTTTATGAGAACAATGAGATGAAAACATTACAATATTTTTTGTTTCAACACAAGTGTTGAAGCAAATAATACCAAATGTTTTGAGAAAAGGTCATTATGGGATGCAAATATCAAAAGCATGTCCCTGCAAACTCTTTGACGGACTGATAAATAGTATTTTTTTCTTACCCTTAGTTGAATTTTAGTGTCATTTTAGCCCTTATTTAAACGCAGCGCTCGGGAATGGTTTAAAACAGTTGTCATGTCAACTTGCTGCAGTAAACAAAGCCAAGTCTGTAATGCTTGCCCCGCCTTCACGCTCTTCTTATTGGCCCACCACTGCTCTTGCACTGAACGCGAATGATTGGTTAATATCAGCTGTCAATCACTCAGTCAGTGCCCTCTTGCTTGGGATGACGGAGAGAGCTGCTACCGCGAAAAACTGTAAAGCGCTGAAGATGAGAATGAAGATAACACTGACAGATTTAGTTTTAGAAACCATGACATCTAAAGTTACAAATAATGACATTTTACTAGTGATCATGTGCTGAATGTTAATCCACCACCTACACTTTTCCAAGAGTGTTTAAAAGACTTCTGGCTTCAAGTCCGCTATGAAAAGTCTGTGGGATGGAATATTCAGGTAACTGTTTGCCACATCTAGCGCGAGAGGTTCAGTTTAATCCTTCATATAATCGCCAGATGCTGTCCGCCGTGCAAGTGGCAGCTATATGTCAAATTTAACACCATGTACAATATCGCAAACAGGCTTGCACTGAGTGAACTAACATCACTACTCATAAAAAAACAGATATTGCTATTAACATGACGTCTGCATATAATAAGGTACAGTGTATGTCAAAAGCATCAGTGCAATATCAGGCAGCACCCGTGAGAACAGCACAGTTATATCATTAACAGATTCATGTCAAGCAGTGTGTGCAGGGCCGGTGAGCGGTCCATGTATCTTTTGGTCACTCAGTTACGTTATAAAAATCTATTTTCTTGTGATAACGGGATTTCGTTGAGACATATTTTCCTCACGCTTGCATATATATATATATATATATATATATATATATATATATATTTTTTTTTTTTTTCCTTGTTAGTTTGATTACTGTTGATTTCAAATGCAATAAGTATGTTTGTATAAAACTTGTAGTAACGGTGCTTTTAAGTACGACTAAATTTTGGCTGATGTGCCTAAATTTTTTAAGTTAGGAGCACCGGTGCTGCCATGCAAAAAGGTTAATTTCGAGCCCTGCAATATCATGTATTTTAGTACATTAAGTTAATTTAATATGACAGATGTTTTGTTTCCAGCTAGCTAAATAAATATAAATTTAGCTGTATAACTTTAAGTTTAATGAAAGTTCTTTATATTATGAGCAGTTTATAGTTTGGTTATAATATGATGCTGTTTTTAGTGTTGCTGTTCCTTAAGTGTCCACATGAACTCAAGAGTTGCTGAGACTTTCATTTTAGGATGTTGATGTACTTCCAGGGCTTAATTTGTGCCGGAACATGATGGATCTGGATCCACCACCTCAGAAATCTGATCTGGCACCTAATTTTACCGATCCCCCTCCTCACTCGCCCGCTGTTCACTTTCACTTTGTTCCGTGACTCCCCAAGCCTCTTTACTTTTGTTCACGACAACCAACCCCCGCCCCTGCTCTTAACTTGCATCTGCGACGTCCCTACGCTATCCAACACCCCGCTATGACCTACACCCCCCAACCCCCACTCTCCACTTTCGTGCACGACACCTCTACATCCTCAGGTAGCATGCTGGATCTGTTACTCTGATCTGTTCCGGCACCCCTCTACTCAAATGAATATTGAGTAGGAGGCGGGGCTTTATTTTGTGCATCGTTGCCTCATAACAAACTAATAATAAGAGGGGTGGGGCTAAAATATTGATATAGAGTTGCTATGGAAACCCTCAGGTTGATGTAAACAGAAAGACCACCACTCCAAACGAGGAAGCAAATGGTCAGACTTTGATTGAAGATTACTAAAACAAACAGATTAATTAATCATAAGTGCAAACAAAATAAATAAATTAAATATTTTAAATAAATATAAATATGTTTTAATGATACTTTAACTTACCAAAATAAGTTTAAAAATTACTTAATTTATTTTATGTATACAAGATCCAGCTTAATTTTTTTACATTTAATTATATTTTTATATATTGATAATAATTATATTATATTTATATTTAATGTTTTATATAATGTGAGTTGAATTGACGTGAACAGGGTTATTTTTTCAAGCTTAATTTGCTAACTTGAGCTGCATATTTTGCAAACTGTCTTTGTGCTGTATTAGGAGATCGGTCATGTGTCGGTGGACATCGCCGGCTCTCTGGAGGAACAGATGAACAACCTGAAGCAGTACGAGCAGAACATCATCAACTATAAATCCAACATCGACAAGCTGGAGGGAGACCACCAGCTCATTCAGGAGGCGCTCATCTTCGACAACAAACACACCAACTACACCATGGAGGTACACACACGCACACACACACACACACACACACACACACACACACACATAAAGAGTGACACACACAGACCTACGCACACAAACAAAAATACAGATGTTTGTTATTGTGAATTGTGGGGACATTCTATAGGTTTTAATTGTTTTATACTGTACTGTATTTTCTATAACCCTACCCCTTAAAGGGAAATGTGCAGTTTTATTTTCTGAAAACAGAGCTTCTGGAGAAATTGGGACATCAGCAATTTCTTAATTCAACATCACCTTATAATACCTGTGTCACACTCTATGTCATTATACACATTTGTGTCCTGATACATGTGTCATAAACACACACACACACACACACACACACACACATACACACATACATTTTTTTGGTTTGTTTTGTGTTTTTGTTTTGTTTTTAGTTTTGCTTTTGTTTTTAGTTTTTTTTGTGGGTTTTTTTGGTTTGGTTTTTGTTTAGTGTTTTGTTTTGTTTTTAGTTTTGCTTTTTTATGTTTTTTGTGTTGTTTTTGTTTTGTTTAGTGTTTTTGTTTTTTTTTGTTTAGGTTTTAGTTTTTTGTGTGTTTTTTGTTTTGTTTTTGTTTAGTGTTTTGTTTAGTTTTTAGTTTTGCTTTTGTATGTTTTTGTGTTGTTTTTTGTTTTGTTTAGTGTTTTGTGTTGTTTTTGTTTTGTTTTTAGTTTTTTGTGTTTTTTTTTCCGTTTTGTTTTTGTTTAGTGTTTTATTTTTAGTTTTGCTGTTTTATGTTTTTTGTTGGTTTTTGTTTTGTCTTGTGTTTTTTGGGTTGTTTTTTGTTTTGTTAGTGTTTTTTGTGTTGTTTTTTGTTTTGTTTTTAGTTTTTTGTGTTGTTTTTAGTTTTGCTTTTTTATATTTTTTGTGTTGTTTTTTTTTGGTTTTCTTTTTGTTTAGTGTTTTGTTTTAGTTTTGCTTTTGTTTAGTGTTTTTAGTTTTGCTTTTGTTTAGTGTTTTTTGAGTTGTTCTTTATTTTATTTAGTTTTTTGTTTAGTTTTTTTTTTTTGTTGTGTTTCGTACTTCAAGGACAACACACACTTAATGCACAAATACACTTCATTGAACATCTACACATAGACATCACCTATGCTATATAACTGCAGGTTATGTTTTTAACTGCAGGTTTTAGTTAAAGTCATTAGTAATTAATAAAGTTATGCTAACTAATAACCATAACTTTATTACCACCATTTGTAAAGCTGCTTTGAACCAGTAATTATTGTGAAAATCGATATACAAATTTCCCAATACTGGGTTGCGGCTGGAAAGGGAATCCGCTGCGTAAAACATATGCTGTAATAATTGGCAGTTCATTCTGCTGTGACGACCCCTGATAAATAAGGAGCTAAGTGAAGGAAAATGAATGAATGAATGACTTCTCCATGTCTCCTCCAGCACATCCGTGTGGGCTGGGAGCAGCTGCTCACCACCATCGCTCGCACCATCAACGAGGTGGAGAACCAGATCCTGACCCGCGACGCAAAGGGCATCAGCCAGGAGCAGCTCAACGAGTTCAGAGCCTCCTTCAACCACTTCGACAGGGTCAGTGAGACGACACACATAGCCAGATTCAGAGCTAAGGCTGCTTGATACTGGAAAAATCTGATTTTATTTTACTTTTATATACATATATATATATATATATATACACACACACACACACACACACACACAATTTCCCCAGATGACTTGAATATCTCTATTTGCATGATTGTGTAGAGGAGTGAATCACGCATGAAATGTAACAAACAAAATTACAAGCATAGATAAATGAAATAGAGCAAAAAAAAATCGAAATAAACAGTGCTTTGTGGTTTTCAGAGTCTAGTCAAATCAAATTCAGGTAGAGAAATACAAAAATTAAATATGAAATAACACTTTAAAGACTTTAAACACTTTCTCATCCACGTTCCTGGACGACCACCAGCTCTGCATGTTTTGGATGTCTCCTTTGTCTGTCACACCCATTACAGGTCTGTCAGTCTCTGCTAATGAGCTGATGATCTGAATCAGGTGTGTTTGGTCACGGAGACATGAAAAATGTGCAGAGCTGGTGGTCCTCCAGGAATGTGGTGGAGAAACACTGCTTTAAACTACTTTTTAAATCAGAGATGCCCAAAGTAGGGCCCACGGGCCAAAGTTAGCCCATTGTAACCACTGATTTGGCCTGCCATCCCATCTGAGAGCAGAGTGAGAATGAAGAAGATGGTTAGAGGCAAATGCCTTCAACACAGAGATCGCCATTTCTAATTTGACAAAACCATTTTTGTATTTTATTGCTGAGCTACAAAAAAGCAAACTCAAGTTAAATGTTTTAATTAAATGTAGATCAATCTGGCACCTTTGAAATGCAGATTAGTAATTAGATTAATTAGATTATAATTAGTTTGTTTTGTTTTTACTGTTATAAGCTCATCATAAAATGTAAAATGTACTGTATTTGTTAATATAAAGCAATGTTTTCTACTCATTTTTAAACATTATTAAATTAATTAGGAAGTTAACCATGTGTTCCTTCAGCCCACAAGCCTCAATCAAGTTTGGTTTTTGTGCCCAACTTTTTCATAGAAATAGCTTTAAATAGTTTAATAAAATACATTTCTATTACAATTACAAATGGTAAAATTTCTTGTGCTTAAATTCTTTACACTCTCCTGGAGCTTAAAACAGGCAAGTGATAAATATTGACTCTGATATGGTTAAACTCTGCAGTAACTCCACAAATCCTATGTATTATAACTGTGGCTATATAATCCCAATATAATATATATAACCCTAAACTATACAATATATATAATAATCACAGACGCTGCGATGTGACTACTGCGGATGTGCCCAATGTTGTGCAGCCATACTGAGAGCTGAGGATGCATGTGTGTGTGTGTGTTATGTGGATTGACTATTGTCATTCACTTGCAGAAGAGAAACGGCATGATGGACCCCGACGACTTCCGCGCCTGTCTGATCTCTATGGGTTACGATCTGGTGAGTGACAGCAAAGCCCCGTCCCTTTGTATGAAGCCACACACTTCTTTGAAAAACACGCATCTTTTACATGTCTGCTAAATATGTTTTATAGTTTGTGTTTTCCATAGCAGTATATTAACAATGATGCATTTAAAGGGCACCTATTATGCTTAAATTCACTTTTATAAGTGGTTTAAACACAGTTGTTTGGTGACAGTGTGTAAATATAACCAATATAATCTTTGTTGTATTCACACTTGATTAAAACAGTCTGCAGAAACACTTTGATTGACATTCTCCCTTTGTACGTGTCATCAGAATAGAAAAGACCCGCCCACTAGTGACCATCTCTCTCTCATTAGCATAAACATCCCCTGAGTAAAAAGCAGCCATTCACCCTTTGAGTTTTGAATCTGCCACTATGCCGACACACAGGTATTTGTAGCTCCGCTCTCTTTTGAAAAGGGCACAATCTCAATTGAATTTAAAGCGACAGTCACCAAAATGCCTATTGGCTTACAGCAGGAAAGTCCAAACTCGGTCCAGTGTCCTGCTGAGTTTAGCTTCAACACACCTGCCAGGACGTTTCTAGTATATCTAGTAAGAGCTTGATTAGCTGGTTCAGGTGTGTTTGATTAGGGTTGGAGCTAAACTCACCAGGACACCGGCCCTCCAGGACTGAGTGTGGACACCCTTGGCTTAAAAAGAATAGTCACTGCAGTAAAAGTTGACCTGTTCTGCTGATTTCTACCTCTGTTTCAAAAGAAACATTTGTTGTTTATTTATATTTTGATATTTCATCAAATTGTTCTGCTTAATACCTTATTATCTGCATGTTTATGCTGATTTCATGATGTGAGTATAATAGAGTATGAGTCTGTAATTTAGCTTTTTTGTTATTTGTATTTGGAGTTTTAAAAAAGTTTTACTGTTTAAAAACAAAATTTGTTTTTCATTTAAGGTAAAAAAATGTCAGAATTAAATATTATTAAACTCGATATGTGGCTTTTGCTTTTTTTAAAACAAATACTTTTATACATAAATACCCTGATTTAAGTTTTTACAAATTTATAATAAGCAAAATGTCTAATTAAAAAAAAAAACATTTCATTTTAATCCGATTAATCAAAAAAAAAATCAGCCGATTAATTTATTAACAGACTAAACATTAGTTGCAGCCCTAAACTCAACTGATTTGAATGGCCACACATTTGAATTGATTTTCAACAACCTGGCTGTTCATCATTACATCCCCGACCAACAGTCATTTTAAAGATGTTTTCTTAAGACTAGCAAAATGAACATGTCTCTTTAACCTCATTGGCTGTTTGGTCTGGTTGTGTTCTGACAGGGTGAGGTGGAGTTCGCCCGCATTATGACCCTGGTGGACCCCAACAACACCGGCGTGGTGACCTTCCAGGCCTTCATCGACTTCATGACCCGCGAGACTGCCGAAACCGACACTGCTGAACAAGTCATGGCCTCCTTCAAGATCCTGGCCTCCGACAAGGTGAGACCAAGACATTTGCGCATGTTTTAGTGACGGTTTCAGTACCTAATAGCAGGCAAAAACAATGCGCCTCATTCATGAAACACAAGCAGAACGAAGTGTTCGTGTAAATTGGTTATAAAGCTGTTCTGAGGTAAATTTTGATTGATGAAAGAAAGTGTTGTTGGTACAAAAAAATACACTTAGTAAGCAAAAATTATTTATTTGGGGGCAAAATTACTAGACGTAATACTGATTCACTAACACAATAATTTTAAGAGTTCACACTTAGCTGATGATTTATAAAAGCTTGTTTGGCATGCTGTCCCGGGAGTAAGCCCCGAGCTCAAGGGCTCCTCGAGCCCGGGGCTTCCTCCCGTTGGCAGAGCGAGAGGGGAGCCTGAGCTCGGTGGATCTCAGAACTCCCCTGCTGCGGTAGCTAAGGGAACACAAGGGGTTAGAAGCTTGATTGTTATGTATGTTGAATGTCTTTGGATGGTGGGAGGAAACCGGAGAACCCGGGGAAAACCCACGCGGACACGGGGAGAACATACAAACTCCTCACAGAAACACCCACCAGTCCTGTGGAACCAGGGCCGGCAGTGTTCTTGCTGTGGGGCTCACAGTGCTAACCACTGTGCCACCGTGCCGCCCAATCAGAGGTAAAGGAGGAGAATAGGGGAGGAGGGGGGTTTCTTCCAAACAAAGATAAAGTGAACTGGAAACTGTGTTTATTTATAGTAGCTTAGGGCTCATATGATTGGAAGATGGTGATTAGCAAATGCGAGACCGGCCGTGATAAATCATAAGCACGTGATCCTCTCGAAATTAGTTTATGAATAAACTTCACATATTACAAGCTAATTTCATCTTGTCTTTTTGTTTTTGTAACCAAGAGTTTGCACCTTTCAATTTTGGTTAAAACATGTCACTTGTTACTATGACCCAGTCGTCCAATCAGTAGAGAGGGGTGAGACAAATACACAGACCAACCATCCTACAGTAGCCTAGTTGTCTTTTAACAACAACTGAACAACAATGGAGAGGTTAATATTATTGATTACTGCATTTTTTTATATTCAGTAATATTCTTCAAAATGAGATACTCATAATGTCTCACTGCTAGAGACGCACCAAAATGAAAATTCTGGGCTGAAACCAAAACCGAAAATCCTGGATGCGCTTGGCCGAAGACGAAAACTATTTTGTAATATTTAATTATTCTTTTATAATAACCTCAAATAACTTAAATTTCACTCAAAATCCTATATCTGGGGACTGATATTACTGTTCAATGGTTATTTATTAATTTGTGACAGGGATACTCAGAGCATTATTTTGCTACAGCAATCCACATTTTAGAGATGTTTTTAGAGGCTAAATTCAAAACAAATACCACCAAACTGCCCATACAACTTTGGAAGTTGATGTCTACTTTATAAATATTGTCAAAAGTATGAAACAATATCTTGCATGTTCATCAAAACTATACATAGAAAAACAGGCCCTTATATGGTCACCAGTGGAAATTGGAGCTCCTCTAGGGATGATGTTTGATACTGCACCCAAACAAAATACTACTAAAAGCTAATTTTTTGATATCAGCTTCAAATGTAGAATCATGCATCAACTTAAAAGCATATAACTTTTTGTGATATTTACTCTTTGAACTTTTTTCCTTTCAGCTACAATCTGACAATTCCTCAAAATGAGACCAAGCTTAAATCTATGCTGTGTTGAAGATTGCCAATCATTTAAGCTGAACATGTCATTTTAACAGCAATGTTCAAAAAGAGGGGGTCACTATCAAATCACATCTGTTGTGTGTAGTAAATAGGAAAATTTAGAGTAATACCAAATTTAGAATAAAAGTCTTGAAAGGGTTAATGTGAAAAATGGGAGATGGAAAAGCATTTGCTAAATAAAATTTGACATATTGAATATTACGCGCATGTAAAGCCACGGCCATACTTGAGTTTGAGCAAGCGAAACTCATCATATGATGCTGCGATTAGATGATTAGAAATTAAAAAAGTAAGTGATTGCTCCATATTTTATATTTCTGTACAGAGAGCTCATGTTTTGATCTTCTATTGGTCTTATGCAATCATGTGGTGCGATTTCGCTAGTCAGAGTTTAACAAGCTTGAACTTTGCAACACAGCGACATACAAAACTTGTTGCACAAGTTTGCGTTTCCGATACACCATATTCAGAAGTCTGTGAGGCGAAAAGTGCGGTCAAAGTTTAAAATACACAAGACATGTTGCTCATATAGTTTTGAATGGGGAAAAGTGTACCGGTCAATGTAGCGAATGAAGCTCCGCCTTCTAGTACAGGAGCCAATAATCAATTGCTATAAACTGACGATTCCCTGGGGGAGTGGCTCGAACCAGACATCAGTTTGTGTAGATTTTTTGTGTGATTCGAACGTTTAAAAATGAAACTAAAGAGACAGTCTTTGTTTAATTTAATTGGTGATTCTCAGAGTTGGGTGTAACGTGTTACTGTATTCTAATTACATTATTAGTGAACGCAGTTATTTAATGAATGTAATGAATAGCATTTTAAATTTGTGTAATTTGATTACAGTTATCAAAGTTAGTGTAGTTGCACTAACCCCGCCGGTCCTACACCACCCAACTCGTTCCGAGCTGGTATCGAACCGGCGACATTCCGCATGGGAGTCGGTTGATCTACCAAGGAGGCTAAAGACCATGGCCTCTAACGTCTGTCACAAGCGCACCTTTAGAGGTCAGAGGAGTGAGGTTTACCTGCACAGCACCTACTGGCTAGCCTCCGTTACACTCACCCCCCTATACCTCACTCTCATCCGGGTCACGGCACCAACGGTAACCCCGCCAATCCTACGCCATCCAACCCGCTTCGAGCTGGTATCGAACCGGCATCCTTCCATATAGGAGTCGGTTGCTCTAACTAGGAGGCTAAAGATCATGGCCTCTAGCATCTGTCGCTAGAGCACCTTTAGAGGTCAGAGGAGTGAGGTTTACCTGCACAGCACATTGTACACTCGCATATTGGGCCTTTCCCAGGCGAGTCATGCTAGTCACGTGACAAGAACCGACTGATCAGCTTCATCCTTTGGAATAATCACATTAAGATAGACCAGGGGTCACCAACCTTTTGCAAACCGAGAGCTACTTCTTGGGTAACGATTAGTGTGAAGGGCTACCAGTTATTAACTTACACATTTTTCTTAATTTATGTTTAATTATATGTAATTATTAACAATTAATAATATTCATCTATGTGAAGACATTGATCATGTTAATGATTTATCACAGTAGTTGTCAACAATGATTTAACCAGTTAGATAAATATCAATATTCAACACTTCATTTGTCTGAAATTGTTTTTAAAGTTTTTTTTTTTATACAGTATATAACTATAAGTAAAGTATAAGCAGGGTTCAACGCTAAGGACTTTTTCTACTTGTCCGATCGGGCAAGTGGTTTAGATTTTTACTTGCCCTGCCAAAATTTTCACTGGCCCCACCAAAAAAAAAGGGAGGTTAATAGCTATTTTTAGCCACATATTTTAAATAATGTGTCAAAAATAAAGTCTGTAAATCTAGAAATTCAATACTTAAAAAACAATTGTAAATATAAGTGTTATGCAAACAAAAAGAACAGTATGGAGAATGTGGAGGTACTTTATTGCAGTTTGAAATTATTTAACAATACTTGTCAAACTGACGGCAAACTATGCATAACATCACTTCATTTTTATTTTGTCGTGTTGTTGCCACGTAAATGTCTACTTCCAAGACGTTAGAGACAGACATTTTCGTTTAGCCTTATAATTTGATGTTGCCGCCGTGTTGCTGTTTCTACGCTGTACTGGTTGTTACCAGGTTACAAAAAAAAAAAATAGCATGGTTAAATCAATCATATGAGACGAATCGCAATATGTTGTTTACGACATTACAGAGAAGGTAGCATTTAAAGACTTAACACAAGCTTAAAATGCACAAATAGTCACAGACAAATTAAATGTTAGTGACTGACAAGGCAGCACTGTCCCAATCGGGCCAGTAATGATCCGGTCTACTGTCCCAAGTGTCTCTCACACTGGCCCTGGGCCACCGGGCAGTCCTTATTGTTGAGCCCTGATAAGTAAAGTAACTTAAAAAGAATACCTATAAAAATATTAGATGCAGCTTACTCATATGTGGTGCTATGGTGAGCTATTTTTAGAACAGGCCCGCAGGCAACCCATGTGAACCTGGCGGGCTACCTGGTGCCCACGGGCACCATGTTGGTTACCCCTGAGATAGACAAACACAGAACACCCAAACACTGCCTTTTCATACAATGGATGTGAATTGTTACAGGTATCCAGTTTTCTTCTAAATGTCTTCTTGGAACACTTCATCATTCACTTGGTCCAACAGAATTGGAACAAGTAAATGATGAGAGAATTTTAAGTTTTGGATGAACTCTTTAAGTCTTTTGAGTGTGTCAAGCTGCTGTGATCAACCCATTGTAATGTTTCTCAGTGAATATTAAATTACTGAAAGAGCTGCAGTTTATTCTGTTTTTATAGGTATATTTTATATGTTTGAAAAATAACTTTAAAGTAAAGTAATTAGTCATTTGATTACTTTTTACATGAAGTAGTTAGCAATGGAATCAGATTACAATTTTCCAGTAGTAATCAGTAATTTGTAATCTGTAAGTTTTAAAGTAACATTCCCAACACTGTTGATTCCTAATATAAAATTTAATTTAAGCTTGGCGAGCGTTTTTAGAGAACTTGATGTTTCCCCGATCAAACAGAATGCCCGAGAGGCATTTTAAAGATGGCCACCAAGTGACTTGCTTTAAAGGGACTTTGCCAAGGATTAACATCAATAATGCTTACGTTGTTTACTGTAGATTGCTAGGTTAACAACACTACAGTCAAGCATTTGTGAATCTGGTTGGGATTTTTTGGAATGAAAAGTTGTCCAAAGGATTTACTTTTATTATAAATAGTTCTTCAAGGGGTGTCGTTATAAAATTGTCTCTCGTCTTTCAGCCCTACATCACCGTGGAGGAGCTCCGCCGCGAACTGCCCCCAGAGCAGGCCGAGTACTGCATCAGCCGCATGACCAAGTACGTCGGCCCCGAAGGAGCCCTTGGAGCCCTGGATTACATCTCCTTCTCCAGCGCCCTCTACGGAGAGAGCGACTTATAAATGCTCTCAATGTCCTGCTTTTTCTCTTTCTTTTCTCTCATCCCTCTCTCTTCTTGTTTTCTTCAAGCACCCCCAAATGTAGCTTTCAGTCTGTGAAGGGAGTCAATAGTAATATCTCTCGTTTTCCCACTCATGAATATTCTCTGTCTTTCTGTCTAAAGCCCACACTGCTAGCTTTAACTGCATTTGTATCTTACATCCACTCTGTAATAGGATGGAATTGCAATAATGGGGTTTTTAATCTTGTTGTCCAGTCAAAAAAGTCTCATTTGAATGTCTGACGCGTTTTTCCCCTCCAATAAGCATCACATCGTCTGAAGTCAGCATGGAATTGGATCAACCCTATTTATTCGTGTTCCTGTTCTTATTATGGATAATTATTCAATGCATTTTGTGCCTAAAAATATCTGAAGCCCTTTTTTAAAAGATATCATCTAGGCTAGAAAAAATATTTGGGCATAATTTTAGGCCAGTTTTCTTAGCGTGGGGTTATGCTGTCTTGCTAAAATCTTATAGTAGTTAATGCACACTAACACATTAGCAAACTTTCCATCATTTTGAATAATAAAACAAGTCTTACCCTACATTTCTATTGTTAAATCAGGTCGCACTCACTTTATAAAAGTTAAACTGGTCGTTTCATGTTGACTTCAGTATGCTTAGGCCAACTTTCTTATCTCTGTGCCTTAAAAAACCTTCCAACATGATAAAAGATGCATTATAATGTGTGTTTGTTAATTAATGAGTGCTTGTAAAGATGCATGTTGTGTTTATTCTGCAGACATTAATATGTGAGAAGGGCCTGTTGCCTCATTTGGTCTGTACTGTTTAAAAACCCCAAAAAGCACTACTGCTGTCCAGTGTCTTCTTAATTTGAAACTGTGAGAACAACTCAATAGTCTCTACACAGAACGTTTAGTGTCTGTATGTTGTGTTGTCATCATGTTTCATCTTTTATCATTGTGTATTGTGAATGTGGTGTTCAGAGGCAAATTCACTATTATTAATTTGCCTTTTAATTGGGAAGTATTGTGCCAAATTATCAAACCAAAGCCAGTAAATGAACTTGATGAAATGGCAAAGACTATGGCAAAGTGTATGTGTTGCACTGACCTGAATGGCTTCTGAAAGCTTAACAAGAACCAGGTTTGCTTTCAAACCGACAGTGAAATCCAGTGACACACACGACAGATTCGTTAAATTAAACCCTGGATGTCACTGCAGTGAAACACCCTCTATCTCTTTGTATTTAGATATACTCACGTCGATCATTTTAAGGAATAATTCACTATTAAGAATCATTTACTCACCCTCATGTTGTTCCAATGTGTTAAGAAGGTGGTCTGTCAGAAAGTTTACATGACTCCATATCCTAGGTGTTGAAGAAATTATGTCTGTTTACATAATAAAACATAACAATATATGGACGATAACTAAATCGCAGCCGTTGCTTCTTCTAATTCAAATATTCGCGCCCTTTGACGCTGGTGTGATTCTGATTGGCTGTCAACGTTTTACCGTTTATCAGCGGAGGAAAAAAGGTAAATTAATTACGCATGTTTGTCAATTTTAGAGTTATCCACCCCCTTAAATAAAAGATAGAGGGTGTCTGGTTCTTTAAAAGAGATGTTTGGGAAAGTTATGAAAGTTTTGAAAGGAGGAAGAACGTCTTTGTCCTCAGGCAGGCCTTGTTTATCAAGGATGTAGTTTCTATTGGCGATATTCGGATGTTATTTGTCATTCAATATCAATCATGATGTTAAATCTGGGTAAATGTATTTCACTGACCCTTCAGATCGCCTCATTGTGATCATCTCTGTCTCCTATATGGCCTCCAGGTATCTTCATTTGCATTTTAAACGCAGACGATTAAAAAATAAACCGAAACGCCCAGAATAAAACAGCTCAAACTCTACTGCTTCTGTGTTTTTGTTTTTCTGTCATGTGTATGTCTCGTTTGTCTCCAGTAGGGGGAGCTTTAGGATGAACTAAGAGTATGATGAAGTCCAGCAATTCCTCTTAACTCGACTGCCTTGGTGAAAGTGTTTTCAGGTATTTAATTCTTGAATATTGCTGATTAAGCTCTGTAAGGCTTTAAACAAACCTGTCTTTAGCATACGTTCGCTAGTTTTTCATTTTTGTTTTGTTAAAACAACCATTGAGACGACAAGCAACATGTATTTTTTCTAGCCTAGGCCGATAGCTAGGAAATTAACATTTCATAGGATTGAAGATTTGCTCTCCAGGATCAATACATTATGTAAATTATTTATTTTACGAAATGTAGGAACAATTTAATATTCACAAGTACCATATTCTCTATGTTGATGACGTCGAGTTTTTCCCCCAGCTGTTATTTAATGACATACCAATTAAAGGGATAGTTCACACAAAAATTTAAATTCTGTCAACATTTACTTACCTTTTACTTGTTGCAAACCTTTATGAGTTGCTTTTTTGTGTTAAAATTGTTGGAAACCTGCAACTACTGGCTTCTATAGTGCTTGTTTTTATATGCAGTAAAACAATACTTCCTGACTTAATTGTAGTGTCCAAACTCGGTCCTGGAGGGCCGGTGTCCTGCAAAGTTTAGTTCCAACCGCAATCAGACACACCCCTAGCTAATCAAGCTCTTACTATAGGCTTTCTAGAAACATCCTAGCAGGTGTGTTGAGGCAAGGTGGAGCTAAAATCTGCAGGACACCGGCCCTCCAGGACCGAGTTCGGACACCCCTGCTATAGCTGAATCAATTGAACATTTCTAGTCTTTCTTTTCTTTTTGGTTTAGTCCCTTTTATTTAATCAGGGGTCGCCACAGCGCAATGAACCACCAACTTATCCAGCATATGTTTTACGCAGATGCGGATGCCCTTCCAGCTGCAACCCATAACTGCGAAACACCCATATATTCTTATTCACACACATACACTATGGACAATTTAGCCTACCCAATTCACCTGTACTGCATGTCTTTGGACTAGTGGGGGAAACTGGAGCACCTGGAGGAAACCCATGCAAACGCGGAAAGAACATCCAAACTGAAGCCGTTTTTTAAAAGATATCATCTAGGCTAGAAAAAATATTTGGGCATAATTTAAGGCCAGTTTTCGTAGGGCAGGGTTATGCAGTCTTGCTAAAATCCTAAAGTAGTTAATGCACACCTTCACATTAGCAAACTTTGCACCATTTTGATAAATAAAATCAAGTCCTGCACTAAATTGCTATTGTTAAAACAGGTCGCACTCACTTTATAAAAGTTAAACTGGTCGTTTCATGTTGACTTCAGTATGCTTAAGCCCACTTTCTCATCTCTGTGCCTTAAAAAACCTTCCAACATGGTAAAAGATGCATTATAATGTGTGTTTGTTAATTAATGAGTGCTTGTGAAGATGCATGTTGTGTTTATTCTGCAGACATTTATATATGTATATATATCTCAACTTAAATTAGTCAAACTGACTAGTAATATTATGTTAATCCTTGTGATTAACAATCCTTGTAAAGTTATTGTATAATGATGGTTTGTTCTGGAGACCATCAAAAAAATATAGCTTATATTTTTTGATGGTCTCCAGAACAAACCATCATTATACAATAACTTTCCTAATCACCCTAACCTGCCTAGTTAACCTAATTAAGTGAAGCCTTTAAATGTCACTTTAAGCTGTATAGAAGTGTCTTGAAAAATATCTAGTCAAATATTATGTACTGTCATCATGGCAAAGATAAAATAATTCAGTTATTAGAGATTAGTTATTAAAAATATTATGATTAGAAATGTGTTGAGAAAGTCTTCTTTCTGTTAAACAGAAATTGGGGAAACATAATAAACAGGGGGGCTTTTAATTCTAACTTCAACTGTAAAATTAATATATTTTTTCTCTGATTAATTTATTCATTTTCTTTTCGACTTAGTCCCTCAATTAACGTGGGTTTGCCACAGTGGAATGAACCGGCAAATTATCCAGCATATTTTTTATGCAGCAGATGCCCTTCTAGTCGAAACCCATCACTGGGAAACATCCAAATGTAACCCCGGATCGAACCGGCGGTTGCGCTAAGAAGGAAGCTAAAGACCATGGCCTTTAGTGTCTGTTGCTAGAGCACCTTTAGAAGGCAGAGGAGTGAGGTTTACCTGCACAGCGCTTACTAGCTGGCCTTTGTTACACTCACCCCCCTAAGCTTTAAGGCTGATTTATACTTCTGCGTCAAACGTCGGCGTATGCTACAGCGCTGACGCATAGCCCTTCGCCGTGGCCATCGCCGTCACTGACGTGCACCTCTCAAAAAATGTAACTACACGTCGCAACGACGCGTAGTGCAAGCTCTGTGATTGGTCGGCTTGGTAGCGCTGACGAGTCTGGGCGGGACCGAGAGCCGCGCGAATGGCGCGAGCGATTGTTTACAAGTGTGGAGTCCCGTGAAGGAGCTCCGGATGGAAAGTTTTGTTTTGTGTTTACCTCATAGTTAAAGTTGTTGCACGTCCGCCGGTTCCTACCTTAAAATGAGCGAGTTTGAGCCACTTGTACATCCCGGAAGTGTTCAGGAAAAGCAAAAAAGCAGAGAGGAAACTCGACACAGAGGAACAGTAACACCTCACTGCCCACTAGCGTTTCGAAGTGTTAATGCAGACCGACAGAGACAGCGTGCAGAAGTATAAATGCACAGCCACGCGCGTTGCCTGCGCCGTGGGTTACGCCGGTCACTTGACGCAGAAGTATAAATCAGGCTTTACTCCCATACGGGTCACGGCACCAATGTAACCCCGTCAGTCCTACGCCACCCAACCCGCTCCAAGCTGGTATTGAGCCGGCAACCTTCCGCATGGGAGTCGATTGCTCTACCAAGGAAGCTAAAGACCATGGTTTCTATCTAGCATCTGTCGCTAAAGCACCTTTAGAGGTCAGAGGAGTGAGGTTTACCTGCACTTACTAGCTAGCCTACATTACACATACACACTCATACGAACAAATTAACTTACCCAATTCACCTATAGCGCATGTCTTTGGACTGGGGGTAACCCATGCCATCACGGGGGGAACGTGCAAACTCTACACAGAAATGCCAACTGACCCAGCCGAGGCTTAAACCAGCGACCTTCTTGCTGTCAGGCAACCGTGCTACCCACTGCGCCACCGGGACGCCCTCTCTGATTAAATGTACTTTGATTACAGACAGACCTTCATCTGACCTGTGCATATACATACCAACATGCTCAGCTTTATTGATAGAATCACATTAATAATGAGAAAATCAAATCCTGCCCGAAATCAAATCCTGATGTACTTTGCTCAGGTCAGTAGATAAACATCCATCAGATGAAGTCCATCTCAATCCGATGGCCTAATTGAATAGGGAGGATCCTCTCAGAAAGGTCGATACAAACAGGATCGCAGTTAATTATACACCGCGGAAATTCATTTTCCTTATCTCCAGAGCAAAAAAAAAACCCTGGCCTGCAGCGATTTGTTTTCACATCATGAGCCGCTCTGTTGTGTCAAAGAGCGCCCAATCTATTCAACATAGCTTCGTGGTACTTCGAGATCCATTGCTGAAATCAACCTGAGTTGAGAGGATTATTTCCAGTGTGTGCGTGCGGCTAAAGTGGATGATGTGTGGGCTGTTTTCATAGATAAGCTGGTCTGAATGGTTTCAGCCTGGATGCGAGTGGTCGGCCTTCATTATAGAGATTGGCTGCATGCTCATTTAATCTAGATTTCCCCTTTTCATCTCTAGCCCATCTCATTTGGGAGCGACGTAAACGTTTTTATTGATGCAGTAGGAATTAAGCTGCGGTTGTACTGCACTTGAGTGTGTGGCTTGTGCAGATCATGCTGTGATGGTGACTGCAGATTGATGTTGCGCTGCGCAGTGCAGGAATGTGTTCAAAATCATTTAAAGGGGTAGTTCACACAAGGATTGAAATTGTCCCAATAGTGTTGTCACAATTACTGGTACACTCCAAAAAGGATCTGTTTTCGCTGCTTGTTCAATCTACTTTTTTAAAATGAGCTGAAACAACTCTATTGTTGAGGGGTTTTTGGGACAAGCAGGGATGTCAAACTCAATTCCTGGAGTGCCGCAGCCCTGCACAGTTTAATTCCAACCCTGATTAAACACACTTGATCAAACTAATTGAGTCTTTCAGGCTTGTTTGAAACCTACAGGTAAGTGTGTTGAAGCAGGGTTGGACCTAAACTGTGCAGGGCTGTGACCCTCCAGGAATTGAGTTTGACTTCCCTGCTCTACAGTAACTGTTCGTTCATTCATTTATTTTCTTTCGCTTTAGTCTCTATTTTAGAGGTCGCCACCGCGAAATTAACCGCCAACCATTCCACCATATGTTTTACATAGTGGGTGCCCTTCCAGCTGCAACCCAGTACTGGGAAACACGCATACACACTCACATACAATACAGCCAATTTAGTGCATCCAGTTCACCTATAGCGCATGTGTTTTTTTAGTATTGGTCATGAGATATTCAATGGTCTCGCATAGAAATCTGATACGCACACATTTATGCAACACATTCAAATTTGGATTTCACATATACACACTACCTGACAAAAGTCTTGTCTTCTATCCAAGTTTTAGGAACAACAAGTAATAACTTCTAGTTGAACATTTGCTATCAAAAGTGGCTTATATGAATGCCTCTAGATTACACTTATTTTACCAATAATGTTCATGTCTGGTGACTGGGCTGGCCAACCTGGAGCACCTTGACCTTCTTTGCTTTCAGGAGCTTTGATGTGGAGGCTGAAGTACTGTATGAGAAGGAGTGCTATCCTGCTGAAGTATTTGCCCTCTTCTGTGGTTTGTAATGTAATGGGCAGCACAGATGTCTCGATAGCTCAGGCTGTTGATGTCGCCATCCACTCTGCAGATCTCTCAAACGCCCCCATACTGAATGTA